CATCCATTTCCAAATGACTTTCGGATGCTATTTGCAAATATTTACGATACTGATTACGAGCCAGTAATGCTTGAAAGCAGTGATGGAATGTATTGATTGACTTAACTTTAAAATCACTGTTTCTAATATGTATTTATTACTTAACACACAAATCAAAGTTTCTATTTTCGTTCAGCCGTGGCGCCCATCAGCAACTTACAAATGCCAAAAATGTATTTTCGTTAGTTGCGTATCAAGTGCCTTACCTAGTTAAACTCGCTTGTATTTACCGTGTACCTTACGTCGTCGTAAACAAACAGTGCCTTTTCAATCACTGATTATAAATTGCCCGCCCACTCAAACCCTCGGTAGCTGTGTACTCCCACGGCCCTTTTCCAATTTAATTTATCGCAAATATGCAATCGAAATGATGATGTGAGTGGAAGTGAATGCAATCAATGATGGCTCGCTGAAAGGCCTCCCGATTGACTAACTGAACTTTAATAATTCAGAAGGCGCAAATTGAATTAGTCAGCTACTTCTTGGGGGCAAATGTCATGTCGGTGGATTATTTCGATTTTAGTTAAGCTGCCGCAGAAGCGAGCTGTTTAAGAATGCAACTGTCCGTGCGCTGGACGAACAATTGCAGCCTAATTGAAAGCTAAATTGAATAAAATACACACACACGCAGAACAGCCCTCCACACACACATGCACACAAGCACATGCTAACAAGCCAGCAAAAAAGGAAAAAAAACCGTAGCCTGCTCAACGGCGCACACTCGACACGTACAATTACAGTACAGTACAGACACACATGCAGTTGCAATTACTTATACGACTGTGTGTGTGAGTGTGAGAAGATAGTCAGACAGTCCGCAAGAAACTCAAGAGCCTGAAACTGTGGCGCACTGGGAGAAATGTCCTTTTAATAGTGAAACTATTACCCTTAGTTCTCTCGAACAAATGGATTTTTTTAAAAGATTTGCTTTTGTACCTTTACTGAGCTATAGAACTCAGATTGAAGAATAACCGCGTGTTGAAAGAGAAATAATTTTTCTGAGTGTACCAGCATAACCATTCCAAAACGCTGCAGGATAATGGAATGGAATAAAGCAGGACGAGGAGAAGGGAGAGCGGACAGGAGAAGAAACACATTCTGTGCACAATAAAGGGGCCAAGGAGACGGCGGAGGTGGAGGTGGGGGGAAATTGTGGAAAATGCAAAATTAGCATGAATACGAAATACAAGTTAAATATTTGAGTAGCCAAAGGTGTTTCAAGCGAAAGAGAGACGAAACGGGTATAAGAATGGAGCATTAGGAGCGGAGAAAACCGAAAAACCAGAGCCAGGAAAATGGGAAATGGAAAATGGAAAATGCAGGCGAGTACGAGATGCCTGGATGCAATCATAGAAATTGCATTTGCCGTTATAGCAAATGGTGCTTGCGAGTCCGAAATGAAGTATTCTGCCGCATAAGCAGAGTGTGCAAGATAAAGATGTGCTTTAATTGCTGGCCATTATCCCAAAATAGGATATATGTGTCCAAAGGTTCAGATCCTAAACTTTGTGTACTTCAGCAGTTTTCCAGATAGTAAAAGAGTATTGAAAAACTTCGCTTTACCTTTTATTAAGTGAAGAATTTATGAATTTTCCCAGTTTCCAATTATCAGTGGGTAATTAATTTTCCTGCAAGAAAATAAATTTTCCCTCGCCTATCTTCCCATTTCCCAATATAAGCACGACATGACACTAGATAAATACGCTGCTGATAACACTTAAAACAAATAAGAACTCACTCCAGCGCTAATGATAACTAATATTTGATTTATTTACAATTTACCCGCTGCATTTTTATATTTTTTTGCTGTCTTTTACCTTGTTTTCTTTCCTTTGGCTGTTGATTTGTTCCTTCTTCCACTTTTCCCCTGCGCCTTATCAGCAGACTTTGACTTTGGGGACATGTAAATAATTTATATTGTATACTCTGTTATGAGTGTAATTTATGACGGCCGTGCTGGCACACTATAAAAACAAAGAGCGAGAGAGGTGTTATATGGCTCTTATCAGCGTGAATGTGGGGCTGGTGTACGAGGAGCTGGTAAAATAGTTGGTGCCTGGCAACAATATCAGCCGGGTTAATAGTGTGCTTTGCATAGGTAAGGTCAACTAAAAACGTGATTCATAAAAGCAACGTATTCAGAAGAAACTTAAAAATCAAAACCAAAATATAACAAATATTGTATAATATTTATAAAAAATTTAGTAGTAAATGATATTTCTCACTTTAGTTTGTACTCCATTAAACTAAATAAGGGTATTTTATGACCGCCTTCCCAAGGTTTTTACCTTTACTTAACCTTATTCCGCTGCGTTTATTATCAAGGCGATGTAACTCACACAAGCGTAAAAGCACACACATTAAAAAACTCACTAGCACACACACACTGGAAGATAAACGCACACAGAGCCACAACTAATTGCTGTTTACCCAGCGCGCAATTTTCTTTCCAACACTCAGAGAAATAGATGTGGAAAAACACAGAATGCCGAGGGCCATTGCCCGCGGCTCTCGTTGTTTTTGTTGTTTTTGTTGTAGCTGTGTCAACTGCAACTCACTAATCTCTCACTATCTCGCAGCCACAGATACTCACCCATACGCGTACATGTGCACTGGCATATCTCCGGCGGTGCCATCTTTCTTGAACGTTTTATTTATTTTACCAAGAAACAAATAGTTGCCGCGATGCAAACGGGCGATCATAAAAATTTAATTAACTTTTATGAACTGGGTAAATAGTGGGGAAAAATGCATTAAACACAGCGCAGAAAACTAGAAAAACATTTACCCAAGACCTCGGGTCTGAAATAAATTCTATTTACTTTCTTTACGATTTTTCATTTGCGCCGTGTTTGTTTATTTTCTTGCTTGTTTGTCGATGTCTAAGCAAATGTTTTCGCCGGTGTTTGCGAAAGTTTAATTAATACTTCAATGCTAATATTTATGGGGGCTTATAAAGACAGCGGAGGTTAAAATAATAGAAAAATTTGCGTGACTTAAAACAGTTTTGATCCACTAACAAAGCAATATAAGTTAATACGAGTTTATCACATCTCCACGTATTTGAAAACATTTTTTCCGAATTAGGCACTTCAAAAGCCCTATTGGTGTGCACACATCTGTGGGTGTATTTATTTTGGGATTGTTTGCTCTTAAAATACAAAAAAAGCAAATGTAAGCAAAAATAATTGGCAATTTTCAATTGGAAATTGCGTGCAAATTTATTTTAATTTTGCACCTGCGTTTGCCAGCCATCAATGTTTGCAATGCAAATATTTTTAGAAAGCAAAAGGGGGAAAACACCAGCACCCGCACTACCTCCTCGCCTTTTTCCAGCCCGGTGTTTGTTCAAGTTATTTGGCTGCTTCGTTGCCACCTGGTCCCAGAGATAAGGAGCGGAATTCGAATTTACCAGCTCGCATTGTTGGATTTATTTGCATAGCATTATGCGACACATACTGTACGAATACGTACTGCATGTTGCGGGAGATGCGGGAGATGCCCTGCCAAGGTGGCAAATATTATTTCACACATGTGTAAAATATAAATCACTTTATTGCAGCCAATTTGCACAAACGATTTGCTTTGACTGCCATTTTGTTGGCCATGTATGCAAATTGTGTTTATTGTCTGCACAAAACTCCCTGCCACATAAGCCGCATTAATTGGATGCTGCCTTTTCGGGCCATTTTTGATTTGTGCCTTTCGCAATTAGCAGAAATGTTTCGAGAAATACTTGTTTGCCCTGGACCCAAGTAGTTTGTTGATTTATTGCCAGAAATTTCCGACAGACACAATGTTTATTTGAACGGCTTCCCCTTCCTTGAATTTATTCCCTTCTCATCAGAATGTTGAAAAAGAACAACACAAGTTTGTCTGTTTGTGTGGATCCGAATTGCCCAGTCAGCACTTCAAATAATTTATAAAACAATTCTTTCTTAAAGGAGAGAATTGGGTTAACTACCTAATGAAGATGAAGCTTATTCTATTTATTTCTATTAGAATGTATCCTAAATAACCCAATAAAACATTTCTCAAACAAAAAATAGATTTAGGCTTTTCCTAAGTTTACACAATGTCGGGTTCGCCCACAAAAGAAAACTCTCCAGCATTATGCAAAAATATCTGACCTGACATTATCGATTGACCTGCCAAAAGCAGCGTAAAACTATTTTTGCCTTTTCCATTAGACTTTGCATCCCTTCGCCAAGCAAAAGCAGAAAAATAACACTAATAAACGACGAGAAGAAACGACAGCAACTTTTATGAACATAAATTTTGAAAGCCTTTAATGGCGAGCGGCCGCAGCGACAACAACAAATGGCAACCGCAGCTGTTGCTACGAATTTTTGCAACATTTTTCCTCTGTTTTCGGATTCGGCTGCACAAATAAATTGCGCATAAATCGTGGGCAACATAAATTTTACATGTTGGCCGGCGTTTGCAGACTGAAAACAAGTTGAAATTATGTGAACGAAGTGGGCATAATTTATGCGATCGGATGGGGAGGCAATTAAAATATTTGTGCCAACTTACAAATTTCCTTAATTAAAAATAATTTAAGCTATGCAATTACGAGTCAAAAAGTGAAATCAACAGAATATAAAGTTTATGGCATGCGAATTAACAAGAGTGTTCAATTTAAAAGCGTATGTATGGTGATTAAAAAAGTAATAACAGCTTAACACTTTTGAAGCTGAATTTGTGACAAAACTGAAGTGTGAAATCAAATGATAAAAAATATACACTTTTTTGAAGGCATTAAAAACTATTTTTATATCGCAAAACAGGGTAATAAAATTCTATAGATCTAGAGGAAAGAGGATTTTCTGTTGCATATAATTTAGAGTCGTGTAAGCTTCTATTTGTTTCAGATAAGCGAGTTATCAAAAGCTTACACTTTGTTTTGTCAATAGCCATAACTAACTGGAGATCCGTCTATTTTCTTCCCTGTTTTCCAGCAGTCACGCGCCCGCAAAAACTCCACCAAAGCAAACAAACTGAATGCAGCCGCTGCATCAGCAACATCGCCTCGTCTAAGTCCAGTGCCAGCAGCAACACTGTTGCCGCAGCAATCGCCAAATACCACAACAGCAACAGGCAGCCTGCAGCAACAGCAGCAGCAGCAGCAGCAGTACCAGCAGCACCAGCAACTTCTGTCGCAGCAGCAACTCCTGTCGCAGCAGCAGCAGCAGTACCAGCAGCCGCAGCATCACCAGCAGCACTTCCAGCAGCAGCAGCACCTGCAGCAGCAGCAGCACGCACAGCAGCAACATTTGCCACAGCAGCAACACCAGATAACCGCACAAATTCAAACCATGAAGGATCAACCGCAGCAGCCCATGGTGAGTCATCAATCGGTTTCGATTTTCCCCCTAAATGCCAATGACCTTTTCTTTTACACATCCCCCTCCCTCCTTTGCTCCTCCCCGCCAGTCAATCAGATTTGATTTTCATTTCATTTTCCGTTTCAAGGCAGCCAAATGCGAAGTGCAAAATACAAAATACAAAATACAAAACACAAGAAGCCCATAAATCCGCATGGCCACATTGCGTATACGTCACGTGGCCCCGGGCCCAATCAACTGCAGCTGTGCAAACACACCAGGGCCAGACAGCCATACACAAATAGTATATATAGTCCCCCCGTTGTTCATTCATAAAGATTTTGTCGATTTTTATCAATGATTGCTAAATGCTATTGAAAACAAAACCACACACCACGCACACACGTGAGCCAGGTGCAGATTCAGATAAATTCCAGATACAGGAAGCCAGCTGCCCGGCAATTCGACTTGCCTGCACTCGGGAAAAATCTTTCACCAGATCTTTGCAAACATTTTAAAGAGTAACTCCCAAGTAAACCAGGACTTCATATTTCTTTTATACTTACAGAACGCAATCTGGTTTTCTCGTAAAAATTCAATCCCTACGAAATATTCATAATAGGAAGTGATGGCGAATTTTGAAACAGTTTTTCTCTGTGTACTACACAAATTGTTTGCGTTTTAATTTTTACATTTTATTTGGATTTTATTGTGGCCCCCGTCCATTACTCCCCACTTTCACTTTCATAACTTTTTCTGCGCGCTCGTAAAAATGCAAATGAAAACGGGTTGAGTTTTGGGTCTGGCCGGCAGTCTGGCTTTGTTTTCCTGGCTCGTTATTCGTTTTATTTCTTTTCATGGGCTTTTCCTGTTTATTCAGGGAGCGAAAATGTAGCATAATTCGAGGCGCGTTAATTAACAGTGGTGCTTTGTGTACTCGCCGCGGAAGTTGTAACTCAGGGCAAAGAGGAAATTTCTGTTTTGGCTTCTGGAGTTCGCCACCACCACACACCAATTAGACTGAGCCTAATTAGGGCACACAGAATATGATTTATGGCTGGCCAATTCAGGCAGGCAGCCTCGGGGTACATAATTCATGTCAGTTTTTGAAATGTTTTTATGACCAAAATGTTTATTTATGGATCTTGCTTGAAGGGGGATGGAGGCGGTAAATGTACTGCGATGAGATTTAAGTCTAGACCTGGAATTAAAGAGAGGGGAGGCAGCAGCTCACGAAAAAGGATTTTAATACTTAAACGGGTGATCAAGTGTTTTAACAAATAGAAACTGTTGATTGGGAGGCCTTCACCAGTAATAAACTTATATAATTAACTAACTAACTCCTTCGCTTTTCAGGCACCCATGGCCTTCTACCCCACATGGCAGGCGGACCCGTCGCAGGGCTGGCAGAACCAGTTCATACAGCAGATACCACAGAACACCCCGGCCATAACGTCCCTCAACTCGCTGGACTTCCAGACGCAGTCGTACGCGTATCCCTCCAACGGCTACGTGCAGTCGGGGTTGGGATTCGACCCGAACTACGGAAGGTCGCCGTACGCGGCGCCCGTCCAGCGGTACGACTTCCAGAGCCAGCAGCTCTCCTCGGCCCCCTCGGCCATCAACCAGGTGGGGCTGCAGGGCGTGGCGGGGTTCGCCCCCAGCTACGCGGGCCAGGTGACCGCAGCCCCAGTGCCGCCGTCGCAGCAGCAGCAGCAGTCGCAGCAGCAGCACTTGGGAGCGGACCTCAACAAGACGATGTCGGGAAACGACACGCCTGGATATCCGCGGGTGAGCAGCGTGCCGCCGCGCTCACTCAACTGTAACGGGTATTCAGGCGACTACAGCGGTTCCACAGCCAGCAACAACAACACCAACAACAACAACAACACCAGCAGCAACCCCAGCAACAGCAGCAACAACAACAGCAGCAGCACCAACAGCAGCAATCCCCCCGCGTCGGTGGTCAGTGGAGGCACCACCACCCCAGCACCGCCGCCCACCGCGGTGGCCCAGCCCGCCTCCTCGCCCATGCAGCCGCCCAGCCAGGCGGTGCCGCCCTCGCCCACGCGCAGCAGCCTGCTGCAGCAGCAGCAGCAGCACCAGTCGCCCACGGGCAACGGTCTGCAGCCCTACGTGGCGCCACAGCAGCAGCAGCAGCAGCACCTCTCCTCGCCTCCGATGCAGGACTGGAACTGGCAGCAGCAGCAGCAGCAACAGCAACAGCAACATCAGCAGTCCTTGGGAGGGGAGGCGTACGCCCAGGGCGAGCGGCTCCACCTGAACACCCGCATCAAGTCCATGATCATGCGCAAGAGCGATCCCAAGGATCCGCCGCCGGATCTGCAGCAGCAACAGCAGCCCTTGCAGCAGCAACAGCAGCCGCAGCAGCAACAGCAGACCGGTCATTTTTTATCGTATAGCCACCATCTCCGGCCCGAAGCGGCGCTAAGCGCCAACGGACCGAGCAGTGCCACGCCCACCCACCCGCTGCCCAACCTGCAGCAGCAGCAGCAGCAAGTGCAGCAGGTGCAGCAGCAGCAGCAGCAACAGCAACAACAGCAGCAGGCGGTCGGTGGGGCAGTGGCTGCCGAGCCGATCGGAGGTGGTGGCGATCACATCTGGAAGCCGCACCACGCCAACTCGTTCAAGAAGCCGAGCGTGTTGGGGAGCGGCTACCCAGTAGCAGCGGGACAGGACGCGCAGCTGCAGCTGCAGCTGCAACAGCACCAGCCAGGACAGCACACGACCATCAGCCACTCGGCGGAGCCTCCGCTGCCGGTGGTGGCTCCTCCCGTGGCGCCACCGGTGGCGCAGCCCAAGAAGTCGCGCAGCCGCAGCAAGGCGAGTCGCGCAGCGGCGGCGGCGGCAGCGGCGGAGGCGGCGGCCGAGATCGAGAGGGATCGCAACGCGACGGATCCCGGGGGTGGTGGGTTGAAGCCACTGGGCGCCCACTACCCGCCGCACCCGCACGCGGGAGGAGGAGCGCCGCCAGCGGGGCAGGACTACCACTCGCACTCGCAGTACATTAAGACGGAGCCGGGCCTGCTGGGTCCGCCGCAGCCGAACAAGATGGAGGGCTACGAGCGCAACTACCAGAACTTCATCCAGTACGCGGACTTCTGCCAGAACGACGGGTCGTCGGCGGGTCAGGCGGCCCAGCAGCACCACACCCACTCCCACGGCCACGGACATGGCCATGGGCAGCAGGAGTACGCGGGGTACCACCACAACTCGGCGTACTACGGAGCGGGGGCCAGCAGCTTCCAGCAGAACTTCCAGCAGAACTTCGTGCCGGGCTACCAGCACTCGACGTACGGCGGCCGCGGGAAGCCGCCGGTCGCCAGCCAGCCGCACCAGATCCACGGGCAGACCCTCATGGAGCTCGACCGCAAGCCGGACACGAACAGCATCATCCCGCTGCCGACGAACTACGAGAAGGACATACCCGCCTACCCCATTCCGCCGCACCGCTACGCGCTTGGCCACGGCGCTCCTCCCCATCTGGGCCACCACGGGATGCTGGAGCCCAAGATGGAGGACATGGGCATGCTGGGCCACGGCGGCGGGTACGCCTACCTGGGCGGCGAGGGCAAGGCCTTGAGCAACGGGTTCTCCTGCTGTCGGCAGGGCGGCACGCGGCCGCCCACCGCGGAGCACCTGAAGGACGGCACTTGCTTGGGACTGGGCATCCAGCCGAAGGAGGAGCTGCTCGACGAGGACGAGCTGATCGACGCCCACGGCAACGGACTGAAGTCCGCCAATGGAGCGGGCAAGGCGAAGGGAAAGCAGAAGCCCGACGAGATCCCCGAGATCGTGGTGAAGCACGAGAAGATCAACCCCATGTTCGACACCACGGATCGCCTGGAGAAGGGCAACAAGACGGAGATCCCCGAGTGCGAGTGCTTCCAGTCCGACAAGAATCCCCCGGAGCCGGGCACCTACTACACACACTTGGGTGAGTGATCTTCAGATGCATTTATTTATTCGAATGTCTAATCCGATTGATTCTCTGCAGGCACGGCCTCCTCCCTCATGGACCTGCGAAGGGAGTTCGAGGAGCGGTGCAACCTCACGGGTCGCCAGCTCAGGATCGAGAAGATCGTCTACACGGGCAAGGAGGGCAAGACCTCGCAGGGCTGTCCGGTGGCCAAGTGGGTCATCCGGAGAGCCGACCTGGAGGAGAAGATCCTAGTGGTGGTCAAAAAGCGACCGGGACACAGGTGAGTCTTATGACTTATGCACTCCTCAACTATCTCCAACTGCCTTCTTTTATGTGTTGTTTAGATGCATAGCCGCCTACATCGTGGTCTGCATGGTGGCCTGGGACGGAATGCCCCGCTTGGAGGCGGACAATGCCTACAAGAACCTCATCCCGAAGCTCAACAAGTACGGCCTTCCCACGACGCGAAGATGTGCCACCAATGAGAACCGCACCTGTGCCTGCCAAGGTTTGTAATCATAACATTTTACAAGTCATTTTACAAGGAACCCATTGAAGCATACTTTTTGGCCCCCCTTGAGATGGTTTTAAATCTCCAGATATTATTGATATGATGATGGCATTTTTAAGAACACAATTTCGAAACCTCTTTTGCAGGACTCGACCCGGAGTCGTCGGGCGCGTCGTACTCCTTCGGCTGCTCCTGGTCGATGTACTACAACGGCTGCAAGTACGCCCGCTCGAAGACGGTGCGCAAGTTCCGGCTGTCGGTGAAGAGCGAGGAGGCGGCCATCGAGGACCACATGAACCTGATCGCCACCCTGCTGGCGCCGGTGTTCAAGCAGGTGTGTCCGCGCTCCTACGACAACCAGACCAAGTACGAGCACGAGGCCAGCGACTGCCGCCTGGGCCTGGAGCCCGGGAAGCCCTTCTCGGGCGTGACCGCCTGCCTCGACTTCTGCGCCCACTCGCACCGCGACCTGCACAACATGCAGGACGGCTGCACGGTGCACGTGGCCCTGCTGAAGCCCGGCAACCGCGACGCCCGCCTCCCGGACGACGAGCAGTTCCACGTCCTGCCGCTCTACACGATGGACGGCACGGACGAGTTCGAGAGCGTCGAGGGTCAGCGGGACAAGCACCGCACCGGGGCGGTGCAAATGCTGGACAAGTGAGTGTACCGTTGAGTTTTGAGCATCCGCTCCCAGGCACTCGGTGCGAAATCGGATTTAGAAGTGGGGAAAGACGTCAGTAAACAGGGAAAAATGTGAAGGGTTAAAGATAGAAAGCATCCATTTAAATCACAATAATACATATCACTTGTCTAGATTGAATTTATATATCAGCTGAACAGATTGTTCAACTAAATATAAGATATACTACTTGATTGCTTAGCTAATGTTTCCTGACGACAACCTCCACTTAACCTCGATTTTCGTTCCGAGTGTTTATGTTCGAGGACTGTGCTAATATCCCCTTCTCCTTTCGCGTCCCCACACAGATTCCCCTGCGAAGTACGCGTGCGATCGACGCCCCTGATACCCTGCAGAAGGCACGGCAAGAAGAGGAAGGACGGCGACGATGCGGCGCCTCCGGACGGCGACCAGGACGCCGTGGGCGACGCCACCAGCCAGAGCAGCTCCAGCAACGGCGCCCAGTCGCAGACGCAGCCCGCCACCCAGCAGAGCAGTCCGCCGGCGCTGGGAGCGGCGCACATCAAGAAGGAGAACGGCGGCGCGCTGCCCGCCAACGGAGGAGCAGCTGGAGCAGCTGTTTCCAAGGCGAAGGGCAAGGGGAAGGGCGGCCAGCAGCAGAACAACTCGAGTGCTTCCACGCCGGGATCGGCGCCCCCTCCACGCCCTCGCCGCGCTGCCAGACGCCGGTGACGAACAACCCCAGTCCGGCGGGCAGCGCCTTCAGCACGCCGCCCGTCCACGGGGCAGCCGGTGGCAATCCGCAGAGCAACGGCGGCCAGCCGGCGGGCAACCAGCCGGGCGGCCAGCTGATGAGCTCCAACTCCAGCCTGATGAACATGGCCACCATGATCGACACCTTCACCGACGCCCAGCTGCAGTCCAACCAGATCTCGAGCACCGTCCTGGACTCGCCGTACTCCTACGACTACCAGACGGGCTCCCTACATCGACTCGCGCAACTACTACGGCCAGTGGCCGACGCCCCACGCGGCGATGGGCATGCAGGCGGGCGGAGGAGGCGCGGCGGGAGGCGGAGCGGGGGCGGGAGTGCCAACCCTTGCGCCCACCACCCCCTCCGCTGCCCAGCCCCAGCTGGCCACTTCGCTCCCCGGAGGAGCAGGCGCCGCAGGAGTCGCAACGGGCGGGCTGGCGACCACCGCCCCGCCCACGGCCCCGCCCACCCAGCTGGAGACGAGTAACGGCTACGGGCCGGCGGGCTACCAGTCGCTGGTCGGCAACCCGGCGGCGAACCTCAGCAATCCCGGAGCGGCGGTGACCAACCTGGAAGTGCAGCAGCAGCAGCAGCAGCAGCAAACGCAGCAGCAGCAGACCGGCCTCGCAGTGGGCGGTCTGGCAGCGGTGGGCGGGGCGACGGGAGACCTCAAGAGCCGGCTGGTCAGCGAGGAGAACCCCGACTCGACCACGCTGGTGAGCCACCACCACCAGCAGCAGCACCACCAGCACCTCCAGCACCACAGTCTCGCGGAGGGCAAGCTGACCGCCCTGACGGCCATGCAGCCGATGACGAACCTCGCCCCGCTGACCACCGCCCACCACCCGCAGGAGGGGTTCGTGAAGCCCAAGCCGCCGCCGAGCGACTACACCGCCCAGTACACGGCGCAGTATCCGAACAACTACCAGATGTACCCGCCCCCGCCGCCCCACTCGGCGTACTCCGCCTACGACGCCTACCAGAACATGAACAACCCGTACAACTACGGCTACCACCAGGCGTACTCCCCCTACGGCATGTACCCCCAACAGACGCCCCCGCCCACTCCGCCTCCCCCGTCGCCCAACTGGAACGTCTACGGGCACCACCAGGCGACCGGAGCCGTCAACTCGGGCTACGGCGGAGCGAGTGCCGCGATCGCCGCCCACGGTGGCTCGGTGGCCCCGGCGGGCGTGGGTCTGCAGAAGCCCATTGTGCCCGTGCCGGGACCTCTGCTGCAGCAGCAGCAGCAGCAACAGGTGCAACAGCAACAACAGCAGCAACAGCAGCAGCAGGAGCCTCCGCAGACCATCCTGCCCGACTTGAGCAACGGACAGGCGGGCGTTGAAACCGTGGCCACGCCCACGCCCACCGGCGAGTCCCCAGGAAACGAAGGGGCGAGCAACAATCCGGCGGGCGGAGGCCAGGCTCCCAGTGGAGCGACTGCTGCCACCACAGCGCCACCCGCCGCCTCGCCGGGCAGCAGCAACGCCAGCAAGATCGAGCCCATCGGCGAGGTGGCCGAGATCAACGAGAACATAGAGGCCTTCCAGGACCCGCAGATGGGGGGCGTGGCAATCGCTTTAAACCACGGCAGCGTGCTGATCGAGTGCGCGAAGCACGAGATGCATGCGACGACGGCGGTGCGGCGGCCGGACCGGCACCACCCGACGCGGATGACTCTGATCTTCTACCAGCACAGGAACCTCAACCGGTGTCGCCACGGAATCGACGAGTGGGAGGAGAAGATGCGCGTGAAGAAGATCAACACGGACCTGGACAACAAAGCCAAAGAGGAGCGCGAGCGACTGATCAAGAAGGCGGCTGGCGAGGACCTCGACGACCTGGACGAGGACGCCCTCATGCAGGACGACCCGCCGCCCGTCAAGAAGGAGTCCTCCGCCAACGGCCAGCAGCTGAAGAACGGCGCCAGTGGCAGCAAGAAGAAGAAGGCCAGCGGCGACTCCAAGAAGTCGCAATCGCAATCCCAAACGAGCAGCGAGTCAAAAAACGAGAAGGTTGCCCTCCACGCACCACCAACACTGACGACCACGTCGTGGACGCCCCTGTTCCCCATGCATCCGTGCGTGGTTTCGGGGAAATACCCGGAGGGCAATAGCAGTCCGACCTCGTCCACGAACAACGCGCCCGCCGCTGGTGGCTGTCCCGCCCAGCTGCAGCAGCAGCAGCAGCCGCCCCCTCCTCCTGGCAGTGGCCTCGCCCACCCGCCGCCGGTCACGCCCACTGGCGTCGCAGCCCCACCGCCGCCCACTCCGCAGCAGCACCAGCAGCAGACCTGAATCTCCTCGGGCTGCGGCGCTACTTTTGGTAGCCGGTTTTCGGAAGAGTCCTAGTCGTAAGCCTCCCCACACAAATCCACAAATCAGCCCTGTTCAGGATTTCAATTTCTATTTCGGCGATGTTGAGACATTCGACATTGTGATGAAAAGGGAGAAAGCGTTTTCAACTCGAACTACGATTTCTGAAATCAAACTATCCTTGGTTTTTCAAAAATTTGATTAGAGCAACATCATTTTTAGAGCGCATAGGTTCTACAGATCTTCAAACAAGCTAGACTTGAAACCAAAAAATTAAAAAAGTGTTAGTGCTAATGGTTTTTATAAAACTAAAAGTTATATGCGTCTTGATAACTGAATTCCTTTTCTATCCTTTTCTATAAAGGTAAAGAAATTGTTTGATACTTTTTCCCCATTTAAACCATTTTGCAAGCCAAACAAATAATCAGAACTTGAATCAAGAAACAGGGCTGTATGACTGAAAATTCACTTAAAGCCAAGATAGGAAAAGAAGTCAGAAGAACGAATTATTTTTGTAAAGACGTCTGATTTCGTGTGCCATAGGTCGAGAGTTAAAAAGAGTTACTGGAAAAGAGAATGCAGGCAAAAGAGTAGAGTTGACGCTGCCAGGCCAAAGTTGTCACCATTCCACAGAAAACAATTCCCAGATACAACACACATCATTCAGCTAAAATCACAAACAAACAACAAGTTTCTAAACAAAAATGCAGCTAGTTTAATATCAACTATTAACTTTAGTTTCTTAAGAGCCAGCAACAAAACAATTTCTGTTAAATCATTTATTTTTAAAGAAAAGCAAAAATACAAACTACAGAACGTCAGCAAAAACGAGCACTACTAAAACAAAAACTAAATAAAGAAATTTTTGCTTAAAGACACAAAAGTCATATTAAGAGTTAGTGGAAGTTGAAAAAAGATCATTGCCAAAAGTACAAATAAACCATTTTTTAACGAGCAACTAGAAAAACGTAAAGAATTTCGCAAGACAACAAAAGAAAATAGTTGGTAACAAATGAAAACAGTTTTTACAAAAGAACTACACTACACTAAATGATTTTTAAATTTAGTTAAATCCCTTATTTTCCAACAATTTGACTGTCCTTTGGGATTGACTCTAAATTGAGTGGCAGTGCCAAACGAATTTGAATTGTGTAAGAAGAACAACTGAGAAATTTCTCTCTTTCCTAATGATTTGTGCACTGAAAGAAATTTTTCAATTGATCAGCCGACTTACCGTTAAACCAGACCACTACAAAACAGTTCGAAAATGGTGCGAGCAGGACAACTAGAACTACAACTAGAGAAGAATTGAATATTTTTGAGAAAGTGAGAAAGAGACAAACAGAGCGGCATACGCTTGGTAAGAAGGAGACGAAACGATGGAAATGTATGGCAGCAAGACATTTTTAAACTTTAATCATAATTTAAACTAAGTTTAAGCAACACACACAAGCAACACAAAAGAAAGTTATATATTTATTTATGCGCAAATCGATGGCAAATAAGGGGTTAATTCTAGTTATTATTATTTCTGCAAGATTTAGTTTGAAAAACCCAAAAAGACTCGAAACCAATCAAGTATTAAGCACTAAACAACCAACAACTAATACTAAACTTATTTGCCTAACCATTTGTAATTGTTGTATAAAACTCAATAATAATTTGCATCCATCCAAAAGGTAAATTAAAAATAATGATTAATGAATGCAAATGTGGCAGCGCAACTGAATTTCAAATCAAATTAGTCTACCTACATATAAATATATTTTGCACAAAACAAAACAAAAACGAAAGGATAAGCTAAAAACGGTTATTGATAATATGATTTTTAATTTGGCGAACGGACATGTAGATCGTATATGTAAACTGTACGCGTAATACACGTAATGTACGTAATGTAATGTATATGTAAGGCAGCGAAGAAGACTTTTGAGCAACAAGAAAAAACATGTTTTGATAAATATTTAAATGTTTATATAAAAATATATATATTAATATAACTTATGATAATTGATAATTGATTAACTGATTACGCGAGCCAACAACTATTATAGTTTGTAAATGCTTTTTTATCATTTTCAAATAAAAGCAAATCCTTTGCCATTATTAAGTTACACACCCCAAACCGACTTTTGAGTTTAGCGGGGCGCCCGGCGTGCACCTTATATATAAACTATACGTATTGGCATATGATAACGCAGAAGCGAAACCAATTAACACTGAGCAGCATAAGTATAAGCGGAAATCAGAAATCAGAAATCAGAAACGAGAACACAGATAGCGCACCTGACGTAGCGACTTTCAGGTGCGAGATCAGCGAGAGATACGATATAGCGATGATACATACATATTGTAAAACGATACACACAAACCGAGAACGTAAATACAGATTGTGAAGCACGAAGATGGATGGATGAGAAAAAACGTAAATTATATTTATTTAAAGTACGCGCATGGAAAGCAAACAGATATTAATATTAAATAAAACAAAAACAAAGTTAAAATTGCCATATTGCGTTTTCTTTTGCGGTGGAAAGATGGAAATGGGAAACCGATGATCAAGGATAAAAACACTTCTGCGGAGAGGGATTTAAATTATGCAAAGTTACACAAATAATAATAGCAATATTTATTTCAAAGCAGGTGTAAGTACCAAGTTATCAGGAAATAAATAAAAAGTACATGTATAAAATATAGAATTATGCCAAGAATCTTACCTCCATCGTTGGGATTTATTTTTATAATTTTCTTTTAAATTATTAGGTATGTGAATGATTCACATTATTTTCGGCTTATCACAACCAAATATTATTGCACAAAGCACTCACAAAAACAAAAAATAAAAAAACAAAAACGCGACTGTACATAGGTACTCTATGTGCATGCACACAAACATACACGCCCTCATGCATGCATATTTTGTGTGGGGGACGCTTGCATTTTAGCTGCACTTGCTTGAAAACCAGATTTTAAGAGATATAACCGTTAAATAAGACTCGCATCTTATACCGCCGACATTAATCACTTATTTTTTACACTTTTAAATATTTTTGGACACTTTGTTTAGATTAATTATCATTTTAACCGGCTGCCAGCGCATTTGGGATCCGATGCAAGCGAGGAAGGAAAACAGAATGGACGATAAAGCTTTTGGAGTTGCTCTCCTTCTTCCATTTATGATCCTACAAAAATGCATACAACCACACACGCACACTTGCATGCAAACTATGTGTGGGGGACGCTTGCAATTTAGCTGCACTTGCTTGAAAACTCAGATTTTAGGCAATATAAGCGTAAAATATGGCTTGCAGCTCATGCCGCCGACATTATTCACTTCTTTTTTATACTTTTAACTATTTTCTGACACTTTGTTTTGATTAATTATCATATTAACCGGCTACCAGCTCGTTTGTGACCCGATACACGCGAGGAGAGAAAACAAAATGGACGATAGAGCTTTTGGAGTTGCTCTTCTTTCATCCATTTATGATCCTACACACGCACACTTGCATAAATACTATGTGTGGGGGACGCTTGCATTTTAGCTGCACTTGCTTAAAAACACAGATTTTAAGAGATATAACCGTTAAATAAGACTCGCATCTTATACCGCCGACATTAATTACTTATTTTTTACACTTTTAAATATTTTTGAACACTTTGTTTTGATTAATTATCATTTTAACCGGTTACCATCACATTTGTGATCCGATGCACGCGGGGAAGGAGAACAAAATGGACGATAGAGCTTTTGGAGTTGATTTTCTCTTCTCCATTTACGAACGTCTTTCTTTCTTCTGCTCGCAGCAGGAGCTTTTATTTCCTTAAATCCTGGCTCAAAAGCTTGCATTTTTTGCATTACTCCTTTTCCTCTTTTTCTGTTTCTTAAATTTAGGAATTGTATTCAACTGACGAAATTTATAAAACGACTGTATCAATTACACCTTTTTCTAATAAGAAGAATAGGTTATTAATTTTCACCTTACTTTAAAGCGATTTTGTATGTACTATTTTCGGTATGCAACCTATCGTGAATTTTATGGACGTATTCCCTGGAGCACCATCTCCTTCGGTCCCAAAATCCAAGCAACAATAGCACGACTTGGAAACTACAATATTTTTGTGATCTCAAAATGAATGGGTGCTCAGCAGGGGCGGTCGCAGGGGGGGTGTCCGGGGGTCCGGACCCCCCCCCCCCCCTCAAAAATCTCAGACTTTTTCAAATTTCCTTACAGCACACGGCTTTTCAACCATAAAAACCAAAATTTTTTTGGTCGGACCCCCCAAAGGAACAAATTTTTTGATCGGACCCCCCAAACGTAAAAATTTTTGATCGGACCCCCCAAACAACAAAAATATTTCGATCGGAACCAACCCCCCCCCCCACAAAACTTTTTCTGCGTCCGCCCCTGGTCCTCAGGGAAGAATTGTTTTATAAAAAAGTCATGTACAAAAACTCGGAAACAACGGCAGCTAAATACTCTTCTGCTTAAAACTGAGTATGAATCTAGTATGAAAGTTAATCTATCATAAAAGTCAGAGCTCGAGCCATCTGACAATATAAATATAGCATCATAATCAGGAATCAATAGTATATTGATTGATATTGAATCAATATATTGACAATATTATTGATAGTATGGCAGGCTCGGAAGTATTTCCTTAACTGCGTTACAAACTTTTATCTGAAATGATTAGATCCTCTGAAAGAGTATAAAATAGGGGATATTATCTTAGCTCAATCCCCAATGGTCCAGTTTAATTTTGGGGACTGTGACTAACTTCCTGCTGATTTTCGCTGCAAACTTTTTAAAGCCGCAATCTGACCTGATTAGGGTTCAGTCGAGCTTAGTTCTCCGAGAAGGAAGTTTATAAATCGAAAATGTGGAAGATGTTAGGGGTATTCCTTGTACTAACTTTCGTAGAGAAATCCTTTACATATATTCAAGACTGCAGTCACGAATATTTCGTTGATATTACGCAATCGAAAAGAGTCGGCGATACCTATTTTTATAGTGGCATCGAAATTCCTGCAAACCTGACTGAGCCGAGTTATGTCAGTGATTCTTGTGAGGAAGAATTTCCGGACCAGAAGATCTACAGGAAGCACCTGACTGCATGTATCTGCAAGGATAAGCCCTGTGTCAAGTTCTGCTGCCCCCGAAAAAATACGTTGCCGTATGGCCAATGCGATGACGACTTCAAGAAGAAGATTGCTTGGAATGACCACTATTTGGATATGGTGTCCAGCAGTGGGAACACGTACAGGCTTAAAGACATTAACATAATATGGGAAGCCTGGACCGAGGACCACTATACCGGCCTTCTGAGCCAAGATGAGTACTACATGTCAGAGGTTTGCCCTTTGATCTGCAAGGGTTTCCGCATTTCTAATTTAAACTCTTTAGGACGGTAGCCTTTTCAACGTTCCCATTACCACGATACTGACTAGAGATAATTACTGCATTTATCCCCAATTTAATTCGGACTTTCCCAACGGATTGTGGTTTTCCCAACCGCATTGCAGTACGATGGAGAACTACTACTTTACCGGAGGCAATTCATAACTGAAAACACCACGTATGATTTTTGTTCTGATTGTGTGTGATCTTTCAGTCATGGTGATATCGGTACTTGGATTCATCCTAACGATGGCCGTTTATCTTTACGTTGCGAAGCTCAGGAATCTGTTTGGAAAGTGCCTGATTAGCTGGTTGCTCTGCATATCCATCAAATTTCTTATTGAAATACTAAACACCCTTCTCTCCGTCAACTACATTTGCGTTCTAACAGGTTACTATAGTTAAGGAACTCATTGGAAACCAGGGTTGTTACTACCAATTTTATTTAATTCGCAGGCTACTGTTATTACTTCTTCACGATGTCGTCCTATCTCTGGTTTTCTGTAATGAGCTACCACCTTTGGAGGCGCTTCACTTCGCTCGATGCGAGTGAGTCATTGAGTCTCTTCCTGAAATACAGCTCCTTTGTGTGGGGAACCACTGCCGTTCCGACGGGAGTCATATTCCTGATGAATCTGCTTTGGGGGGAGGATCTCAGGAAGTGGCACTGGATGCCTCTAGTGGGCGTGGCAGAGTGTGTCGTCCACGTGTATGCACCCTACAAGTGGATTTACTACGATGGACCGTCGCTGATCCTGAACGTCTTCAACTTGATCATGTTTATCCTGACGGCCGTTCACGTTCGGAATTTGAAGAGCAACCTGAGGAAGTTGAACCGAGGAGAGGCGACGCCAACCTGCTTCGATTTGAACATAAAGACGTAAGAATTACCTACCCAATTCAGGATTTCTAATTCAGGATTCTAATTCAGGGTTTCAGTTGGGCGGATTTCTGCCCTCATGGGCACAAACTGGTTCTTAAGCCAATTCTCAGTTATTTTTAATGAATTTCAGTGGCTTAAAAATACCATAATTATTGAATTATTCGGCTTCTTTAATGCCTCCTTTGGAATAATGATATTTATGCTGCTAATCCTAAGGCCCAGCACTTTGTCACTAATCAAAGAAAGGTGAGTTTCTTGATATAGCCAAGTAGGTTTGAATAACCCTTTATCTTCCGAGTAGAATTCGTGGAAGGCAGTGAACCAGAACCGCAAAGTGGATTATTTGTAATGTAAAGTTCAATACATATTTTAACAACTGCTAACACTTAATTAAATCTTAAAACAATTTTGGGATTCACTATGAAATTTCCTTTTATAATGTCTTTAGAGTCTTGCTCGAAACCAAACAAAACTCTCTCAATCTTGTGGCAATCGGAATTGCGTTGAGATGCACTATGGTAAAGATACAAGGATATTCTACGGTGCGGCGATGGAAATGTGCGCTTGAGTCGGGTTAGTTGTAAATTGTAAAGTGCGAATTAGCGGAACAGCCTAAAGCTTACAACCTAACTATTTCAAAACAAATCGTTATGTTTTGTCTTTATGATTTTCATTTTATTTATTATTAACGCAAATGTGTTGCCTTTTTCGCAACCAAATACTTTTGCGCAAAGGACTCACAAAAACAAAATACGATCAAACTCGACTGTACATATGTGCATGCATACATACAGGCACAGATGCATGCATACTTTGTGTGGGGGGACGCTTGCATTTTAGCTGCACTTGCTTTTAAACACGGATTCTAAGAGATATAACCGTAAAATATGACTCGCACCTTATACAGCCGAAATAAATCACTTATTTTTTACACTTTTAAATATTTTTGGACACTTTGTTTGGATTAAATATAATTTTAACCGGCTACCAGCGCGTTTGGGATCCGATGCAAGCGAGGAAGGAAAACAAAAAGGGCGATAGAGCTTTTGGAGGCGGTGTTGTATCATATGTACTATTTTCGGTATGCAACATATCGTGAATTTTATGGACGTATTCCCTGGAGCGCCATCTCATTCGGTCCCAAAATCCAAGGAACAATAGCACGACTTGGAAACTACATTATTTTTGTGATCTCAAAATGAATGGGTGCTCAGCAGGGGCGGACGCAGGGGGGGTGTCCGGGGGGTCCGGAATTTTTCGATCGGAACCAACCCCCCTCCCCCCAAAATTTTTTTCTGCGTCCGCCCCTGGTCCTCAGGGAAGAATTGTTTGATAAAAAAGTCATGTACAAAAACTCGGAAACAACGGCAGCTAAATACTCTTCTGCTTAAAACTGAGTATGAATCTAGTATGAAAGTTAATCTATCATAAAAGTCAGAGCTCGAGCCATCTGACAATATAAATATAGCATCATAATCAGGAATCAATAGTATATTGATTGATATTGAATCAATATATTGACAATATTATTGATAGTATGGCAGGCTCGGAAGTATTTCCTTAACTGCGTTACAAACTTTTATCTGAAATGATTAGATCCTCTGAAAGAGTATAAAATAGGGGATATTATCTTAGCTCAATCCCCAATGGTCCAGTTTAATTTTGGGGACTGTGACTAACTTCCTGCTGATTTTCGCTGCAAACTTTTTAAAGCCGCAATCTGACCTGATTAGGGTTCAGTCGAGCTTAGTTCTCCGAGAAGGAAGTTTATAAACCGAAAATGTGGAAGTTGTTTGGGGTAGTCCTTGTACTAACTTTCGTAGAGAAATCCTTTACAGATATTCGGGACTGCAGTCCTGCCGATTTCGTTGATATTACGCAATCGAAAAGAGTCGGCGATACCTATTTTTATAGTGGCCTCGAAATTCCTGCAAACCTGACTCTACCGAGATATGTAAAGGATTATTTTGAGGAAGAATTTCCGGACGAAGTGATGTATACAAGGCACCTGACTGCATGTATCTGCAAGGATAAGCCCTGTGTCAAGTTCTGCTGCCCCCGAAAAAATATGTTGCCGTATGGCCAATGCGATGACGACTTCAAGAAGAAGATTGCTTGGAACGACCACTATCTGGATATCGTGGCTAGCAATGGGAACACAACGGAGTACAGGCTTAAAGACATTAACGTAATATGGGAAGCCTGGATCGCGTGCCACCCCCCGAATTTCTGAGCCAAGATGAGTACTACATGTTTGAGGTTTGCCCTTTGATCTGCAAGGGTTTCCGCATTTCTAATTTAAACTCTTTAGGACGGAAGACTTTTCAACATTCCCATTTCCACGAAACTGGCTAGAGATGATTACATGTTTGAGGTTTGCCCTTTGATCTGCAAGGGTTTCCGCATTTCTAATTTAAACTCTTTAGGACGGAGGACTTTTCAACATTCCCATTTTCACGAAACTGGCTAGAGATGATTACTGCATTTATCCCCAATTTAATTCGGACTTTCCCAACGCCCTGTGGCTTTCCCAGCAGCGGTGCATTGCGGAAAAAGACTACAACTTCCTCGCAGGCATTTAATAATTTAGAACACCACGTATGATTTTCGTTCTGATTGTGTGTGATCTTTCAGTCATGGCGATATCGGTCCTGGGATACATCCTTACGATGGTCGTTTATCTGTTCGTTGCGAAGCTCCGGAATCTGTTTGGCAAATGCCTGATTAGCTGGTTGCTCTGCATATCCATCAAATTTCTTATTGAAATACTGAACGCCCTTCTCTCCGTTAACTACATTTGCGCTCTAACAGGTGACTATATATAGTAAGGTAACTCGTTAGAAACCAGGGTTGAACTCAATTCACAGGCTACTGTGAATACTTCTTCACGATGTCCTCGTTTCTCTGGCTTTCTGTAATAAGCTACCACCTTTGGAGGCGCTTGACTTCGCTCGACTCGAGGGACTCCTTGAGCCTCTTCCTGAAATACAGCTCCTTTGTGTGGGGAACCATTGCCGTTCCGACGGGAGTCATCTTCCTGATGAATCTGCTTTGGGGGGAGGATCTCAGGAAGTGGCACTGGATGCCCATAGTGGGCGTGGTAGAATGTGCCGCCTACGTGACCGGTGCGCATGCCTGGATTTACTACAATGGACCGATGCTAATCCTGAACGTCTTCAACTTGATTATGTTCATCCTGACGACCATTCACATTCGGAAAGTGAAGAGCAACCTGAAGAAGTTAAACCGAGAAGAGGCGACGCCAACCTGCTTCGATTTGAATTTGCAGACGTAAGAATTACCTATCTAAGATAATTTTATTACTTAATACTGATTCTAATTAAACTTTCTGGTTCTCAGTTACTTACAGCTTGTGCGGATTTCTGCCCTCATGGGCATAAACTTGATCATAAGCCAAATTTCATTTATTTCTTATGAACTTAAGTTGCTTAGAGAAACCATATTTTCTAGGTTATCCATCTGGTTTAATGCCTCCTTTGGAATAATTCTATTTGTGCTGCTAGTTCTAAAGCCCAGCACTTTGTCACTTATCAAGGAAAGGTGAGTTTCTTGATATAGCCAAGTAGGTTTGAATTACCCTTTATCCTTCCGAGTAGAATTCGTGGAAGGCAGCAGGACCAAGGCCGCACAATGGAACTCATGCTTTTTTAAATAATTACACAATACATATTTTAAAAACTGCTAAAATTTAATGGAAAACTATTTTTCTGGAGTACAAAGTCATGTAGTCTTATGACAATTTTGGGGTTCACTATGAATTTTCCTTTCATAATGTCTTTAGAGTCTTGCTCAAAACCAAACAAAACTCCCAAGCAAACGGAATTGCGTTGAGATGCACTATGGTAAAGATACACGGATATTCCACGGTGCGGCGATGGAAATGTGCGCTTGAGTCGGGGTTAGTTGTAAATTGTAAAGTGTAAAGTAGCCGAACAGCCTACAGCTTACAACCTATATATTCTAGCCTAGTTATTTACAGCGAAGTGGTCTAAGTACATGGCAAGTGATACTCTCGGTGTGCGGCGGCTAGAGGCTGAGGACGAGGTCCTCGGAGTAGTTGTCGAGCGCCGTCTGATTGAAGGAGCCGAAGTTCCAGCGCTGGTAGCGGTTCTCCTCGTCGCACTTGTTGACCACCACCTCCTGGGAGAAGGGCAGCAGCTCCAGGCACCGCCTGCCCTCCGTGCCGTGCTTCAGCAGCTTATTTCGATAGTCGTAGAACCAGTACTGGTTGCCCCCTGCCCGTGGCAGTCCCACAGCCAGACGGGAGCGTTCGCATCCCAGATCTGCACGTCGAGGCACTCCTTCTTCCGCCGGAGCCGCAGGTCCCGCTTCCAGCTGAGCTCCCAGAACTGCGTCCGCTGCGGCAACTTCAGGTCGCTGGCGCACGCGTACATGCCCATCTTGTTGTGCTTCTTCCTGCCCATCGTGTCCAGGCAGAGGTTCGTGTTGCCCGCGTTCTGGATGCCGCCCATCGCGTACGAGGGCGGGTCCACCGGCGGGTAGCTCTTCATCAGGTCGAAGGCCACCTCCTCCATGAACCACTTGAAGGACTTGCACTTCAGCTTGGTGCGGATCGCCTTCTGGGCGGTCAGGTCTCCCGGGTCCACGCTCTCGTACAGTCCGTCGCCGTGGCTGTACAAGTAGTGCTTGTACTCGTCCATCCAGACCTCCGCCACGCGTTTGTAGTTCTGAAACAGGAAGGAGAATTAATCAGGGGAATCCATTGAAAAATAATATATGTAAATACTATTAAAATGAATTCATTTTGATTGAGGGGTTACTCTTTTATCTGTTTAAAACTATGCAATAAAATAAGAAAACAAGTTTGCTTGGCAACAAATGGATTGATGGACTATCTGTTGATGCTGATTATAATTATATTCGTCAGTTTAAAAACTGGTTTTGTGTAAACAAAGTAATACTATTCGTTACAGCGGGGAATAGTTCTTTTTAAGATGCCTTCAATTCCGAACCTCATGTGGGTTTCTATTCCCAAGCAATCTTACCTTGTGCAAGTAGTCGCCCTTCCTGGGACTCGGCTGGTGGTGGCGGGGTCCGCGGTAGATGTGGCCTATCCGGGAGCAGGGGGCGTCGTACATCTCGCCGCCGCACATCCAGATCTTGAAGCTGAGCTCGTACTGCTCGCCGCCCCAGATGTCGAGGCCCTCGTCGTAGCCGCCGAGCTCCCAGAAGAACTCCGCGGAGATGGCGAACAGGCCGCCGGCCATCACGGGGCTCTTGAAGGGGTCCGCCGGGTGCTTGAGGTCCTCCTCCAGGAGGGGCAGCCGCTTGTAGTAGAACTCCCAGTCGAAGGCTCCGCGGGCGCCCTCGTCCTGCGCGCGATAGTTGAAGTTGGAGTGGTCGATCACGTCGATGAAGGGACACACCGCCGTCCGCTTGTTCAGGGCGATTGGTTCCAGCAGCGGCGGCAGCCAGTTGTAGTTCGCCTCCACGTGCGAGTCCAGGAAGATGAGCACCTCGGCGGTGGCGTTCCTGGCTCCCGCCGCCCTGGCGCCAATCAGTCCCGTGCGCCGCGGCAGCCGCACCACGCGCACCCACTTGAAGTGGTCCGCGATGTAGGCCTCCAGGTCGTGGCCCAAATACTCCCGGTCACTGTGGTCGTCCACCAGGATGATCTCCTTGAGCAGCTCCGGCGGCGAGCGGTTGATCAGGCTGTGCACCGAGCGCATCAGCACACTCAGATACTCGTTGTAGAAGATGATGATCACGCTGACCGTCGGCAGCTTGGCCACATACTCCTTCTTGCGGCAGCTGTGGAAATTTAATTTAATTTAATATAATTTAATAAGAAGAAAACCTTATGAAGCTTGCCAAGAATATAGGTACTGAATACATCATTAAGATGGTTAGATTTTATCTAGATACAATGTAGTAAATACATAAATAGCAGGCAAGAAAACATAACAAACGCGGAACGATAAGCTGTCTGAAGAACAAGATAACCAGATAAGTGGAATTGATAATTGATGAGTCCCCTCACTATTTGTCTTCATTTAAAGAGCTAGCAGATAATCACAGAAAGGAAGGTGTATTGAACCCTTTGGAGAGCGCGGATTTCGAGTGAAATACTCACAGGGGATGGCGAATGTCGGGCAGCGATCGGTTGACCGATATGGAGTCGGAGAGCAGCGCGTTGAACCCGTTGTCCATGGACATCTGCTTCTCCAGGTCCCGCTGCGACTCGTCGTCCAGCGAGGCGGCCTTGCCCTTCTCCCCGAGACCCACCCGCTGAGCGTCCCTGGCCATGGCAGTGTAGTCGTGCCAGTCCTTCTTCACCGAGCCATCTGCGGGCGCAGCCACCTGCAGCTCCTCCTGCGGCTGCTGGACAGGCTCCTGATCGTGGGCCTCCTCGTCGTCCTCCGGCTCTGGCTCGTCGATCTTCTTCAGCTCCTCGGGATCCTCCTGGGAGTCGGGCTCCTCTGGCTTTGGCCGCTTGACTGGCTTAGCTGGCTTATCTGGCTGCGGAGCATGATTCCTGGGCTGGACGTTGCCGGAAAGGCCCGCCTGCTCGGGCTGGGGCTCCAGGCCGTGGTGCACGGGCTTGTTGGTGAACGGACTGGCCGAGATCCAGCTGGTGATGAGGATGAGCAGCGTCAGGGAGACCAGGAGCAGCAGCGAGGCCTTCACTATCCACTTGAGATTGGGGCGCCGCATCTTGCCGGAGATCCGTGGTTACGTGTCCGTTCCGCGGGTCTCTATATCCACCATTAAAATAGTGTGGTGCTCGTGGAGGTTCGGCTGATATTAGATTGTTGGCTCAGGTGTTTCTGGAGTTCTGCTGTTTGCTGGTCTGTCTGGTCGCTTTATCTGCAACGTGGTTTCCCCTCAAAAACCTTGGCGACGTCAAATGGAAATGCAAAGAAGAAAAGTTGAAAAATTCGGAAACGTAAGCACCTAAGTAAGTACATATATATGTACATATATCTTTTTAAGTGGCACGCAGAGCACAAAAAACACGAAAAGATAAGCGAGGCCTTTTCACCAAACTAAAAGTTGAGATAAAAGAAATGGTAATGTTCCGCACTCAAAGAACTTCCGCCGGCTTCTCTCGTTATCGCGAAAACACTTATTTTTGTATAGAAAATGTAAGTATCATAGCCTTTAATAGCACTTAGCCAACTGGCGTTGTTTATAATTCCCGATTTTATTACTCTACCGCTTTTAATCAGGTGAAACGTCATCAGCAGGTGAGAGTTCTTATCAGAAGATGGGGATTTTCACGTTTGTTTGGGGGCTCTGATTGTTTCTTACCTGCTTGGTTGCAATCAATCTAAACAGCCATCTGATCTGGGTTCAATAAACTAATAACTACTAATTAGCATAGCTAAACAAAAGTTTGCTTCCACGTCCGCCGAAATTCGGTCGTTATTTGCTCGGTTCTTGGCGCTGTTCTGATGGCGTTCACAGTGATACGCCTTCATCTGCCGCAGAAACAGCTGTTAGGGTATTCGCCCCGAAAAAGGGCGTACTCAAAAAGGGGTCACACTTTACGGCGAACATGTTTGTGATTTTTAAAAATGCTAATTATTAATAATTATCTTACTTAATTTTAATACAAACGTCCCCAAATTTGTGAACGACCATTACTCCATCTTAAGCTAAAGCAATAAGGTTAGCATTAATTTAAAAAGTTTATTGGTTTCTAACACTTCCATTGTCGTTTTGAAATCCCTAAGCAATATTCAACATTTTCTTGACCTCCTCCTTGTACTGGCCCAAGTTGTACTCGTTTTCGCCCTCGTTGATCAGTTGCTCGACGCAGCTGGCGTAGCTGGCACTGGGAGCCACCTTGGGAGCTCCCTCCTTGGCGCCCCAGTTGAGGATTCCCTCGGCGGAGAGCTTCGACTGGTTCCGCTCGAACAGGTAGACCTCCATGTCCGCTTCCGACTTCGTTGCCTCCCAGGGCTCGGTGATGAAGGACTCGTGGTAGCAAGCGGTGAGCAAGTACATGGCGTAGTCGTAGTTCTGCTTCCTTTGCGGACACCGATCCGTGACGAACGTGAGGACGTCGGTGTCCTTGTTGTAGCGATCGCCCACGAGGCGCAGGAACTTGTCCCGGGCGTGCGAGTCGAACTTAAGATCGGAGAGCTTCAGCGAAACGGTGACCCTCCTGGCCTCGGGGTTCCGGATTGTGGGCAAGCTGTGGCAGTAGTCTGTGGTCGTGACCTCCACGGGGAAGTGACGCTGCCACTTGGCCTCCGTCTCCAGCCCCTTTGGCCAGGGCGTGCAGAATCTCTTGATGGCCTCGCACTGCTGCCGAATGGCCGGCGGAGTCAGGTGCAGAAAGTTGGGGATCTTCATGAGCTCCGCATTGGCGAACTTCGAGGGGGCCGCTGCCCCGCGTTCCGTGAATCCCTGGCGGAGCGGCAGGGGCACACTGGCCGGGTGGAAGGACCTCGGCCCTGGCCAAACGGACGTCCAGTCCTGATCCACCGCCATGCGGGTGGTGCGCGGCGGAGTGGTGGGATCCCTGCGCGGCTGCTGACGCCGCTGGAACTGCTGCTTCACCGCCCGCAGATTCAGCACTCGGAACTCTGTTCGAACAGGAAGATAAGTGTGCGGCTTTTTAATGGTGTTTTGTTTACCTTCGTCGACTTCCACTTCTGGCTGCTGTTTTTGCTCTTGACTGGAAAACAAGCGGACGCTGCTTTGTGCGGCCTGTTTTTTGCCTGGCAGGCGCTCCCACACTCGAGTAAGGCTAGCAGACATGGCTTTTCACTTTGGTTTCCTTACAGAATTGTATTTTAATTAAAAAATCAAAAAGTTTGTGCGGCTTTTACGTAAACCATGCGACACCTAACTGACATTCACCACGAGCTGGGTGTAGCAGCTGTTCGCATGGGATTGCCATTCACAGAAAACGTTCTACCCATCATATGGTAAAAAATAACGGTAAACAAAGCTTTCATAACAACAAAAACAATATTTTTGAAATATTTAAAAACAATTACGTTAAATTTAAAAGTGATGTCAAAACAATAACTCTTTTTTATGATATACTCACATTTCAATTTAAACTCTGTTATGGAAACCATACCACAGAAACTTCCATTTAAATTGCACTTACAAGTTTACAAGTTCTGGTTCCACCCAGAATAAATAAATACAGTGGGCTCATTTTTATATACACTTTTATTTGGGTAAAATAATACAAAAATATATGTAACTTTGCTGTACTGTAGTATGGCTAAAAAGGAAAAGTTCAATCACACCCAACCAGGAGTCTCCGATCGGGATCCCGATCCCTCCTCTTCCGATCCTTGTTCTCCTTTTATGTACATGCGATGTTTATTATTAGTAGAACAATAGAAAACACTACGTTATGCTGTAAGCCCCGCGAACTAAATATACCGTTAACCTAACCGCGCCATAGGGGATTCCCCCACGGGATTGCCTAGTGGATCTCCTGCTTCCACTTGTCGCGCGCCTCCAGCTTCGCCTCCGGAACGAGCGAGCTCTTGGCGCCGCCCAGGATGTTGGTGGTGGCCTGGGTGGCCAGCACCGCCGGGCAGACGACCAGCTGCGGGATCTGGCGCACCACCGCTCCCACCGCCCCGCTGTAGCCCTTCTGGTCGTGCTCCGTGATCGCCGCCTCGATGAGCGTGCTCGCCGACTCGTTGATCCCATCCCTCACTATGGAGTAGGCGTTGGCCACGCCCTCGCGCAGATCCTTGGGGCGGCCCTGGCGGCGCCTCCGGCCCTGCCGGCCGCCCTTGCGCTTCTTGAGCGAAGGACCCGCGGAGAGCATGTCGAAGGTGGTCTCCGCCGTGAACTGCAGCAGGTGGATGATCCGGGAGGTGATCTCCAGGGCGGCCAGCGCCGTGCGGGCCGTAAAGCTCTGCGCGCCCAGCTGGAAGCCGCGGATGATGCGGCCGTCCTTGTTGTACTGCTCGATGGGCAGCCGGAAGAGGTCGTAGACGCCCTGGAAAAGCTGCAGCACCGCGTTGGCGGGTCCAATTCCACTCAGGATGTTGGGCAGCTGGTTGCGCTTGATGTCCTTGAGCCACTCCTTGGCCAGGAACTCGCACAGCTTGTTCCAGCCGAGGATGCCCCTCCGGTTGACGATCTCCCGCAGGCTGATCCCGGATCCCTGCAGCTGGGCGAGGCCCATGATGAGTCCGGTGACGGGTCCGCGCGAGAGCTCGATCCTCCGTCCGTGGTAGTCGAAGCAGATGGGCAGCGCCGGGCTGAAGATCACCTCGCGGAAGAAGACGGGCGGGGCGGTGGCCGGATCCTCCTCGAGGTCCGCCTCCGAGCTGTTCTCCTCGATGAGGACGTTCAGGTTGCGCTCGACCATCTCCTTCACCTCGGAGTCGGGCAGCTCGTCGGCCAGCTCGTCAGCCAGCTCCTCGGGCAGCTTGCTCACCGACATCACCGGCATGTCCGCCGGAGCGGAGGAGGAGCCGCTGCCCTCCGCCTTGGGAGCGCCTCCGCCGGCGGAAGTGCCTCCGGAGTTGCGGAACATCCCGGAGAAGAAGTCCTCCAGGAAGAGCAGGGTGTCCTGGTCGATGTTGAGCTTGATGGGCAGGATGGAGACCCGCAGGGAGCACTCCTCCGCGGAGCTCTTCTGCGGATTGGGGCGCACGTTGAGCGCCTTCACGATCACCATGTTCTCGTCCGGCTTGTGGACGAGGCTGTGGCCCGTCGGGTGGTACAGGAACTTGTTGATGTCCGAGGAGCGCAGCCGGTCCCGCACCTCGATCTCCGAGACGAGCAGCACCTGGCGCGAGGAGTACATGGAGCTCAGGGGGTAGGACTCGTACGAGAAGCGGATCTTCGAGAGCTGGATCTCCACCAGCACCTCCGGGTTGCGCTGCGAACCCTTCGGCTGCTTAGACAGACCCTTCCTTTCCTGCTTGTCCAGCTTGTCCAGCGGCTGCGACACTCCGTACTTGTAGGTGTCCGACATGCCGAATCCTCCAGCGGAGGAAGAAGCGGAGGGAGAGGATCTCCTTGGCGGCTCGTCCAGCGGGAAGTCCCTGCCGCCGTAGAGGTGCCAGGTGAAGGTCATCTCGCAGAGCGTGTAGCTGCTCTCGGCCACCGGGAAGTTGGCCGGAGGTCGCAGCAGGTCCACCTTCTCGTGGGGCAGCTCGAAGTGGTTGTCGACGATCTGCAGCGGCTCCTCGGAGACGTAGATCTGCTTCACGCCGAACTTGTCCATGCGGGAGACCTCCTCGCCGTGGATGAAGTCGAAGTCGCGCTCCTCCAGCGTGGCGTTGCCCAGCGAACCCAGCTCCTGCTGCACCTGCGATCCCAGCGAGGCGGGCACCTGGTGATCCTGGTTCTGGCTCTGGTGGTAGTAGGACTGCAGGATCACGTTCGACTCGAAGTCCAGGATGTCGCCGATGACCGAGGGGCTCTCCACCATCAGCGACTTGCTCTGCAGCTTAACAGGAGTGGCCAGGTTCTTGCGCCGCTCCTTCGGCTCGTCCGGAAAGTAGAAGATCTCGATGCCCTCCTCCCGCCCACCAGGAGTCCTGTTGGTCTTGGGGCTGGGCGCGCACTCCACGTCCATGACGGCGTCGGCCATCAGCTTGCTGACGTGGTTCTGGGCGTGCTCGCTCACCTCCTGCTCCTCGCTGGCCTTCGGCTCCGCGGGCCGCGCCTCCTCGTTGGGGAAAAGGACGGGTTCCTCCGGCGGGCAGAGGTCCCTGTCGTTGGCCACGTAGGCTATCAGCTGGGCGAGAGCGGCCGCCGAGTCGAAGCAGGTCTTCAGGTGCATGTCGTGGATGGAGGCGCGCAGGTCCACCTTCGGCCGCCCGCTTCCCTCGGCTCCCAGCCGGAAGGATATGTTCAGCAGGCCCAGGTTGAGCACGGGGATCAGCGAGTCGTTTGGTTCTTTAAGTGGCCCCAGCTGGAGCACGCAGTCCTCGGCCAGGAGGCGCAGTGTGCAGCCGCTCATCGAGGAGATGATGTTGCTGCTCAGGGTGCAGTAGCCCAGGTCCAGGAAGGCGCGCTGCGGGAAGAACCTCGGCCGGTAGTCGATCCCCGCGTTCCACACGTGCAGCTGCAGCTCGGAGACCAGGGCGAAGGGTTCGTAGGCCTCGATGGGGAAGTCGGCCACGTCCATGAAGTCGATCAGCTGGGTGAGCCAGCTGTGCTCCGAGTGGCAGGAGTGGTGCTCCAGCACGGCCCCGCTGATGCCGAACGACATCTTGATCCGCTTGATGCGCTGCTCCGGCTGCTTCTTGATCTCGGCCACCAGGGAGAGGACCTCCGCTCTCTTCCTCTCCCTCTGCTGGTGAACGGCGGCCAGGTTGTAGATCGTGGGCAGCAGGCTCTCGTCCGGCAGGTCGCTCCAGGCCAGCACCAGGTCCTGCTGCGTGCTGCCGCAGTGGAGGGCCTCGATCTCGCCCAGCTGGATGCAGAAGAAGCTCCTGGTCGCGTCGTTGTCCAGCCCGTTCACCGTGAACAGCCGCAGCTCCTTGAGATTCACCTGGAACTTGCCGCACTCGCTGGTCCGCTGATTACTCTCCGGATCGAGGAGGTGCGAGAACAAAACCAGCGATCCCTGCTCCACGAACATCTCGAAGGAGAAGGCCTCGTTCCGCACAGGCGGCGGCGGTGCAGCGGAAGTGGAAGCAGGTGGTTCCGCCATCGAGAAGTAGATGCTGCTCTCCATGGCGCTGGTGCTGAGCAGCAGGTTCCGCCGGAACTCCTCCAGCTGCGGCTCCGCATCCATAGAAAGGCCCCTCGATCCAGCACTTTCCTCCTCCCGCGGGGATTCGTAGTGCGGCGAGCGCGGTTCCCACATGAAGAGGTCTCCGTTCAGGCGGTTGTAGATCAGCTCGTACATGGACTTGGACTCCAGCACAACCTTGACATGCGGGATGAAGGCGAAGACCTTCAGCTTGGAGGACTGGGTGCAGCTGTCGCAGAACTCGTTGATCTCCTCCGTGTCTCCCGGCAGGAGGGAGTCCGTCTTGTCCCCGCCGCCATCGAGTCCCTCCACGTGGGACGTGTATCCAAAGGTGCACTTCGAGCTGAAGGGCGACTTCCTGGCAGGCTTCTTCTGGCTGTCGCCAGCTGACTGGCCGTCCTGCAGCTGGAGTATGTCGATCTGGATCTTCTTCTGGTTCTGGCTCTGCTGGCACTTCGCCAGGCGCACCGCGCTCTGCTTGTCCGCGTCGCAGTAGAAGGCGTCCAGCTCGTCGGCCAGGATGCTGATTTGGGTCCGCGAGCTGACCACCAGGGCCCGGAACTCCAGGGCCAGGAAGTCCCTGCGCACGTTCTTCTGCCACCAGGGAACCTTCTGCGGGTCGTTGGCCGCCCGGCCGTCCACCACCGGGAAGCGCAGGTGGAGCCGCAGGTTCTCGCACTTGACGCTGAACTCCGTCTGGCTGGGATCCTCGGGATAGGGATTCGGGGGCGCGGAGTCCCCGGCGAAGGGGGAGCAGCCGAAGAGGGCGCCCAGGCGGTCGTATATGGAGATGTCCAGCTCCGCCGTGCACTCGTCCAGGCTGCACTCGATCTTGTTGGCGCAGCGGTTGTGGTTCTGTTTGAACATGGACGAGGAGCTCTGTGTGACCACGATCTCCGGCCGGATGTGGTAGCCGTCGGGGCAGTTCCGCTGGCGGTCGAACTGCAGCAGGTGCTCCATCGAGTTGTCCAGCACCTCGCAGAGGTCCACCGCCGTGGCCGAGAGCGTGGTCCGCGAGGTGAGCTCCTGGAAGTAGCGCTGCTGGCTTCCGCCGACGATGATGGGGGCTGCGCGCAGCAGGAGGTAGTGCTGCTGCTGCAGGGGCATGTGGTTCTCCAGCAGGGTGCCCGCGAAGAAGCCACTGGCAGTGTCCGCGTAGCGGAGGTAGCTCGCCCGGTCGAAGACCGAGCTGCCGCTGTCGATGCTGGCCGTGTTCTGGACGAGGATGTCCCGGTGGAGGGCCACGCCGTAGAGCTTCGAGATCTGCACCTTGAACTTGAGTATCTCGCCCGACTTCTCCGTGTAGCCGAGCTCCTGCTGCAGGGTGTTCGTGCAGGAGGTGAGCATGCTGTTGGTGGACTCGCTCATCTTCCGGCTGCGCGAGTAGACGCTCCTCGGCGCGTTCCCGGCCCCGTAGCCGGAGTACTCCGACGGCTCCGGCTCCGACATTCCCGTGCACCAGTCTGCGTTCTGGCCCAGGATGCCCGTCATCCTGGTGGGCTGCTGGTGGCCCTGCATCTGGTACTCACTGGGCGGCGCCGACTTGAGGCTCCTGCCCTTCTTGGGTCGCTCCTGCTGGCCGCCGCTGTTGAAGCCCTTGGAGAGCTCGACGAGCAGGTGGATTTGGCGGGGCGTGAGCATGAAGTAGATGTCGTCCAGGCTCAGCTCCAGACTCACCTTGGGCCCCGCGATGTTCTCCGTCTGCTTGATGCTGATCTGGATGTTCTGGGCGCCCTTCAGCTCGACGATCTTGCAGAGCTGCTCGTAGGGAGTGGGCCCGAAGCGGGGATCCATCACGTCCAGCACCTCGGAGGTGTGCAGGCTGAGGCCCTCGATCACCAGGTTGTGCTTGGCTATCATGGGCAGGGCGTTGAAGCTGCTGCTGGGGTCCGTCTCGGTCTCGGTGTCCTGCGAGGTGGACATGGTCATCTCGTAGCCCGTCTTGTTCTTGTACTCCACCTGGCTGGCCTGGAAGGAGAGCACCAGCTTCCTGTCCGACCTCGGCAGCAGGTACTCTATGTTCAGCGTGGTGTTCGTCAGCTTGGCCCGAATGCGGTTGAGCACATTGTCGATGGTCTCGGCGAACTTCTCCAGGCCAATCAACGCGTTGTTGTGGTTGAGGAAGGGCACGTCGTCGTCCACCTGCTTCATGCACTCCTCGGCCATTTGCATTGAGCTGCTCACCGACGACCACATGGACTCCAGCATGGTGGTGCCGCTCTGGAAGCGGGTCACCGGCCGCAGGGTGATGGTCAAGTTTGAAATCTCCAGGCTGCTGTCGTTGGTCATCAGGGCGTTCCAGGGAACCACCACTGTGAGGCAGCCAATGTGGCCCGAAACCACCTCGAAGGCCCAGCCCTGGTCCTCGAAGAGGTCGTTGAAGGCGTTGACCTTCAGGAATATGTCCTCGACCACCGCCTTGCCGTTGTAGAGATCAACCTTCAGCTGCTCCAGGTTCAAGTTGTTCTCGAAAAACTGACCCAAGTATCGCTGCAGCAGGTAGCGACACATTTTGGTCTTGAGGCCGTCCCACGGATTAAACCACGACATCTTGTCTGTGAGTTTTAGTTTTCCACGTTTTTCCTCTTTGTGCGTTTTAAATTCTGCCTGTTATTATTCCAGCGCAGCAGCAACAACAACAACACGCCTTTGTTATTGTGCTCTGTTGACGAACAGGGAAACGGAAAGGAATTTAAGGCTTCAGCTTGAGATAAGAAAAACGCTTACCACTCACATTTCACGGTTGGTGGGGGCGGAGGGCGGCTGCAAGAGGGTATATATGTGCATTATTTTGGAAAATAATGAATTAATAAAGCGTAGTAGCGAGTGACCATCAAGTTGGCCCTTGTTCTTCTTCTTTTCTTTGCTATGACAGTGTGACCATGTAAGCGGAGGTTAGAAATGCTGTTTGTTTAGGGCAGTGCGCCAAGGGGAATGTGTTTACTTATAATTTAAAATTTTATAAGGTTCTTTAACATATTCTAGCTTATGCGGAGAGATATGTGATGAAACATAGAAACCATTATTTCCTTACTTAACAGTGTTGTATTCACATTTATTCCTTTTTTTACATATTAAAAGCTGCAGGTTTGTTTTCATGTAGCAATGATTATAGTTTTTCTCATATTTGCACATGTTCTTATATAGAAATCGCAGAAAAATAAAGAAACGACTGTCCAAGAGACTCGCAAAAAAAATGATTTTTAAAATATTAATGTCACTTATACAAAATAATACCCCAAACCAAAACCACCTGTTGATACCCTGCAGTAAGTCATACTTAGTTCAGTGTTGAAAAACACAGCTTCACACACAGCTGTTCGCCTGCAAAGTTCTTAATTGCATTTTTGTTTCGCTTATTTTTCTCTTTTGTTGTTTTTTAGTTTGCAAGTATAATGATTTTTTTGCATTACTTGACCCTTTTGTGCCTGGCTTTCGCCTCCATCGAGTCAAAGTCCATCAAGAAGTCGCATGTTAACCTGCTGGAGCCAACATTTGATGAGGATGAGAAGCTCCGGAAAGTGGGGATGTCCCCGCCCGTAATCTCCAGCAATGTGCAACGTGTGCTTGTCCCCTCCATTGATTCCCCCGAAAAGACTGGCAGGGCAGGTGGTTTCCCCATGCCCCAGGAGATCCGCAGAAACCAAAGGACAATAACTCCACAATGGAAGTTTCTCAAGATGATAATTGGCAAGGCAAATGGTTTCCCCAGGCGCCAGGAAAACCCCACGTAACGAAGAAGGTGCTGGAGAACTCTGTCGAGAATTACACCACAGAGAATGTTCAGACCGTGGAGTCCACGACCGAGGACCATTGGCAGGGAAAGTGGTTTCCCCAAAGCCCCAATGAGCCACACAAAACACAACCGAAGATTTGCGATGATGGCAAAGTGAGTACCATACAATGTTCAAATGTTCAACAACTGTATTCAAATTCCATTTTTCAGAATAACCTGGCTGTGGACTACGATCCGAATGACATACGTGATAGCTTAAACTATTTGTGCATCAGCAGCAATCGCAGCTTGTACCAGCCAGACCTGACTAGAGAAGCGATTCTCACGGAGCACTTTCTGCCCAGTGCCTACTTGCCTCCTTCCAAGTGCCTTAACGAGCCGATTAGCTACTCCCACCTGCCGGCGACCAAGTAATGCAAACGAAACCAGCACTTTCCGACGACTTGTCATCGTTACTTTCTGTTTTAGCGGCCCCTATCGACCTTTACCGGCCGAGTACGGAACTTATTCCTACCTGCCACCGCAGCGATACGTCCGCAACCTGGCAGAAGGTGCCATTGTGATGCTCCACCACCCCTGCGCCTTTCCCGGCCAAGTGCAGCAGCTGCAGGACATCGTGACCGGCTGCCTGTACCGTCACCTGGTCTCCACCTCACAGGCTCTCAGTCCAGAGCGTCCCTTGGCCCTGCTGGCCTGGAGCCGCAGCCTAGAGATGTCTGTCGTGGACCGACGCCTGGTGGCGGACTTCATCCGAAAACACGCCAGGCAGGGGCCGCTGGCTCCAGAGGAGTTGTCGCGGGTGGTCGACAAGCGGGCGACTTACAAGGAGGGGTTGCTCTCGGAAGCTCATCTGGTGACCACGGCGGATGACTACGAACTGTGCGGATACCTGCAGGAGGAAATGTAGGCGCAACATGTTAACTACCTGTTTAAATATAATTCGAATACCTTACCAAGTGTTTTATTTAATTGTAAAATATTTTACACGAACAGGGGTCAAAATACCGACCATGGTATGCCACTTTGGGGAATCGCGCTAAAATTGACAAATTTATGAGCTGTGGGCTTCAAGAATTGGGAAAACTTGGTACAATTTGCAAATAAAAAGCGCGCGATGACTAATAAATAAACAAATAAATAACTGATAAACAAAAGAAACCGTTATTTTTCAGTGTGAACGTAGCGTACGGAAGTTCGCGTTCCAATTACGACCGTCGATGCCCATTTGGTATTTTCGCGTTTCTCGCTTACTGTCCTCGGTTTCGGTTTAGTTCTCTTTCTCCGGACAAAATCAACTTTATTAAACGATCTCCAAACGATCCCCCACTTGGTCGCCACACAAACACCGAAGCTCAAAAGCCGACGGCTGAATCTTTTCACCCCCGGAAAAACCCAGAAAATCCCGAGAAACGACAAAGTGCGTGGCCCCCCAAAAATAGAAGAGGAAGAACAACAAAAACAATTGAGAGGTGAAACAAAGGAGACGCGAACTAAAAACAATTAAGTTGTCCAGTTGTGGGCGACAGAAGGTCGATTCATCACGTGATTGTCGGGTTTGAATAATACCAGAGCCCAGAATGTAGCAACTAGCTCATTATCCTGTTTGCAATTGCAGGCTTTACATAACATCGGAAGCTCTCGTTTCGAAGGAGGAGCAGCGAAGCAGATTGGCAAGTGGAAAATCAGTAGCTGGGCACTAGGTGGAGAAGTCAGGCAGCACCCACGCAGGACCAGCAGCGAAACAGCCCCACCCCAAAGAGCTTAACAGGACAAGGGAGGCAAACCCCCTTACAAACCGCCCGCTCCAACCCTTTTCAATCCCCCTACGCAACATGAACAACCTGGCTGACACCGTGGTCGTCGATCCTGGATTCGGAGGCGGCGACAAGCAGCAGCAGGCAGGTCCCGCGCCTCAGGACGCCAGCGTGGTGGTGCCTCCCCCTGCCACCAAGCAATCCTCGGCCCTGAAGAAGACCAGTCGCTACAGAAGCCGCTCGCTAAGCGCCTCCTCCACGGACTCCTTCAGCTCGGCCAGCTACACGGGCAGCAGCGAGGACGGCGACGATGTGCCGCCGCGGGAGAAGGTCCAGAAGAACTCGAAGGGCAGCTCCGACTTCTGTGTCAGGAACATCGCTGCACAGCACGCGTTCGGGCGACGGGAGATCGAGATCGCGGAGCAGGAGATGCCGGGCATCATCGCCCTGAAGAAGCGGGCGGCCGAGGACAAGCCGCTCAAGGATGCCAAGATCGTGGGCTGCACACACATCAACGCCCAAACGGCGGTGCTCATCGAAACGTTGGTGGAACTGGGCGCCAGTGTTCGCTGGGCAGCCTGCAACATCTACTCCACGCAGGTGAGTCCGGGTTACGACCCATCTGTCACGTCACATTCGCTTGGCTCGTTTACTGCCGCTTGTCGGATAGAGAAAAGCTCAGTCACGGGATAGCTGAGCTACAGATGATTTTAAAGGTTTTTAAATTAACTGTTGGAAAGACTTTGAGCTGGAGAAGTATTTATAGTTTTTTCTGCTACAGAACTCAGTGAGGTAAAGGCTCATGAAATCTTGAGTTCTTTCAAATCATGTGCTGTTTATAGGGCACTAAATCGATTTGTGTTCCAACTTATTCCTTTATATTCATTTAAATTCGCATTTATATTCGAGTTCGGTCACTTGATCTGGCTGGTCGCTTGGAGACAATTGTCGTCACGCCAGGCGGCGCAAACAAATGATCAATCAAGCCATGTTAATCAATTAAGCGCCCGCGGCTCAAGTGTTTGGCAATCGCTGAGTAATTGATGTGCCCTGAATTGGGTCGCAGTATCATTGCGGAGTGGAAGTTGTGGACGCAGTTCCATTCGCACTCGCAGCTTCGATTCGGCTGCGGTTTCTCCATTCGACGGTTCCTGCGCCGTAGCTGATGCAATTATCACGAGTCTGCCGGCTCTAAACAGTTTATGGGATCTCTAATGAAACGATCTGAGTGCGGCGGCACTCCCCCAACACTTTTGTGCACCTCTCCATCTAAACTTTTATCGCTCGTCACGCTGAATCACCCGTATCGCCCGGGGCTTATCAGCCGGGTTCGGAGTGCCTTGCTTGCCTTGGCGAGGGTGCAGCCCGATTCCCTATCGGCCCGATATAAGTCAGATATTAGCCATGCTTACCGCTTTCGGGTGGCTCGGCTTATCAGACTTTTTGACAGCAATGTGAAAAAGTAATGTTTGCTTTATTTATAAAATGATTTGTATAAAAATCACTATTATTAGTTTCCTTCAGATAAGACAAGTTTGAATTCAAATACGAATCCTTAGGTCCTTAAAATCAGGTTAAACTTAGTTGAGCTATAGATATCTTTTTATAGAATTGAGAAATCCAACAAAAATCTTACTGTTGAAAAAGAAAAATGTTGCTCTTAGGAAGATCAATTTATGTAAGAAAGGTTTTAAAGCAAGAACAAAGACTTAGGTATTTCTACAGAAGCAGTAGATAAATATTCAAGTGTATTCTTTGCTTGCAGAACGAGGTGGCTGCTGCCCTGGCTGAATCCGGAATCCCGATCTTCGCCTGGCGCGGCGAGACGGAGGAGGACTTCTGGTGGTGCATCGACCGCTGCGTGAACGCGGAGAACTGGCAGCCGAACATGATCCTGGACGACGGGGGGGACGCCACGCACCTCATGCTGAAGAAGTACCCGACCATGTTCAAGCTGGTCAAGGGAATCGTGGAGGAGAGCGTCACCGGGGTGCACCGGCTCTACCAGCTCTCCAAGGCCGGCAAGCTGACGGTGCCGGCGATGAACGTCAACGACTCGGTGACCAAGACCAAGTTCGACAACCTGTACAGCTGCAAGGAGTCGATCCTGGACAGCCTCAAGCGCTCCACGGACGTGATGTTCGGCGGCAAGCAGGTCGTGGTCTGCGGCTACGGCGACGTTGGCAAGGGCTGTGCCCAGGCACTCAAGGGACAGGTGGGATAAGCATTCATTTATTTACCGGAGCTCCACTCACATTTAATCTCTTTTAAAAGGGCTGCATTGTGTACATCACGGAGATCGATCCCATCTGCGCCCTGCAGGCCAGCATGGACGGCTTCCGCGTGGTGAAGCTGAACGAGGTGATCCGCAACGTGGACATCGTGGTGACGGCGACGGGCAACAAGAACGTGGTGGTGCGCGAGCACATGGACAAGATGAAGAGCGGCTGCATCGTGTGCAACATGGGCCACTCCAACACGGAGATCGATGTGAACGGGCTGCGCACGCCGGACTTGACCTGGGAGAAGGTGCGCTCGCAGGTGGACCACATCATCTGGCCGGAGGGCAAGTACATCATCCTGCTGGCGGAGGGCCGGCTGGTGAACCTGAGCTGCTCCAGCATCCCCTCGTTCGCCGTGTCGATCACCTCGGCCACCCAGGCGCTGGCCCTGATCGAGCTCTTCAACGCACCGCCCGGGCGCTACAAGTCGGACGTCTACCTGCTGCCCAAGAAGATGGACGAGTACGTGGCCAGCCTGCACCTGCCCACCTTCGACGCCCACTTGACGGAGCTGAGCGACGAGCAGGCCAAGTACATGGGGCTGAACAAGGCCGGTCCTTTCAAGCCCAACTACTACCGCTACTAGGAGGCCTCGGGTGCCGATATGCGGACAATAACGCCAGCAATTAGGAGAACCAACAACGCCAACGAAAGTATTGTCTTTGCGAAGAAGTGAAACTATTTAAACAATTGTTGACACACACACACAACACACAGAACACACAAAAGGACGCGGGAAGGAGAAGAGAACACAAAGTTACTATTACCATTGTATTGCTTAGTTTAGCTCGAGCGGAATTCTTGGTTGCTTTTCGTTAGCATTTAGCATTTAACGTCTGCGTCTTCGATAATAGTATTTAGCACTTGCTTTAGCCGCAGGAGTATTCTCTCTGTTTACTAATCCCCCATGACTTAACTCTTAACTAACCTAATAACTAATCTTGCCCCCGAGAATTTATCCCCTTGAAATGTTTTATAGTGAATTTATTTGAGACACTTCGATTGCTTATTAACCAGACTGCTCAAGTTTTTATGTTTCATTTCGAGCTGATAAAAGGGAATTGAACAAATCTTCGTAAGGAATTGAATTTTTGAAGCCAAGTTCTTCGACTCCAATGTCTGCAATACAAAAATCCACTTAAAATGTAAAGTGAAATCTGAACAATTATTTTGATTATGTACTTCGAATTATAACGTCTGTAATAAGTGATCGACTTTGCCTCTCGTATTGTTTACGTACTTAATTTGTTAATCGTTTATGTCCCCCGCTTTTGATAATGGCACTTGTACTTTCGTTTCGTCCGGAGAGTGTTGATGGAAATGCAGTGCAAAGTAATTCCATTTATTCAATTATATACACGCTGGCATATATATCAGATCGAGAACTATATATATACACTGCATATACACCTAATATGTATATTAGAGAAAAGTGAAAAATGTTTGTAAGAAATTTGTGAGAAACGCAAAACAATAAAAAAGGATTCTTTATTGAGCAATGTGCATTTCGATTGATTTCCCCCCCCGCCCAACGCCCAGGAAAAGCCGTCCTTGGTGAATTTCAGATGCATCACTCGTCTATTTCTCTTTTATTACTCGATACTTTGCCTTAAAATTGTTTTGTTTTTCTTTATAAAATGTAAACTACACGAGTTGTTATAAAAAAATCATACACTTTATGTATTACAATCGTTTCTTTTTCTCTTTTTATAATTTCTCCGTTCATCTTGTGCTTGTGGCATGAACTTTTACTTTTACTTAAATGCCGTAAAGTGCATCTCGAAACCCGTCCTAATTAGGTTAATGCTAGACACATGCGTCAACTAAATCTTAATCAAAGGTCGTGGAACAAACAAATCCAAGCGGAGCCGAAAGATACAGGGGATACAGGGTCGGTAAACCAGGCTGGCGGTGAGGCGTACTATAGTAGCTGCATCTGGAGAGGATCGGCGGGGTGGACTTAGTCGAGAAAGTGCGGCTTGAGGTGCTTCAGCATGCCGAAGGTGCGGAAGCGGCGGATCTTCATCACCTTCATCAGCTCGTCGTCGCAGATGGCGAACTGCTTGTTCTTGGGGTCGTACAGGTCGCGCTCCTTGATGATGGCCCACACCTTCTTGACCACCTCGTGGCGCGGCAGCGACGACTCCCCCATCAGGGCGCTCAGCTCCGGCGAGAGGTTGTAGGCGCGCGTGAAGCCGGTGCTCTTGCGCCCGGTGCCCGTTCCCCCGGCGGCCTTGGCCTTCTTCTTGGCGGCGGGCTTCTTCACCACCTCGTAGTCGGAGTCCGAGCCGGCGTCGCTCTCGGTGCCCGAGTCGTCGGCGTTCAGGGTCTTGCGCTTTTTCTTGGGCGCCTTGTGCTTGGTGGGCTGTGGCCGCTTCTTAGGACCCGGCTTCTTCTTCTTCTGGGCCTCCTCCTCACTGCTGCTGGGGTCCTCCTCCTCGCTGGGCTCGCTCTCGTCGTCGGGATCTGCGTCGGGGTCCTTGCCCTCGTCGTCGTCCTCGTCCTCCTCGTCCTGCTGCTCGTTGATCACCTCCATGACGATCTTGTCGAACTCCTTCTTGCGGCTCAGCAGGGAGCAGTTCAGCTTGCCCTCGACCTGCTCGCGCACCCTCTTCGCCGAGATGGTCGCCAGGTCGGCGTCCTTCAGCACCGCCTGGATCTCGCGTCGCAGGTCCTCGCTGGAGATGTCCGACATCTTGTTCGCAGAGTGCTTCGTTTTCCTGCGGTGCACGTACTTCGTTCTACCTGCGGGGCACGATAAAGCGTCTTTTCGGCTGTCCTGACTGGCGTCCGGCCACTGTGGCTCCGCTTCCACTTACCAGGGGCTCTCTTTTCTGTGGTCTTTTCACGTTTTTCGGGCGATTCTTCGGCGGCTAGCAAGTCGGCTACTTCTTTCCGTTTTTTCTTTACACGGCGTCTCTATAATGGAATGGAGTTTGCCAGCACTGCCGGCGGCGAACACTTTACAGCACTGCCCTCATTGGTTGGAGCCTCGAGATAGTAAGCACTTTGGTTGGAAACATAAATAGTTCTGATTTCTAGATTTGAAAATCCGTATACCAACAGAAAACTATCGTTTAAGTTTGGAAAACATTACTCTTTTTTTAAAGAACAAAATATTTTTGTATTAATTTAAACTTCATTTTGAAAGCCAAACTAATTGTTTTTTGTGTGGTATATTCATGGAGCTTAGTATTTTTTCAGAAGACCAAGCATTTTCTAATGTTTAACCTGCGGTCACACTATAATAAGAACGTCGCGTATTTGTTAAAAACTAAACTAAATAATATTTAACAACCGTTAAAAAAACGCCCCGCGACTCTAATCGTTGCGCCGATGTGCAATAAGTTATTATATTTACGGTAAAACGTCCATGTGTCGCGAAAATCGATGGATTTGCAGCAGCTGCAGCAACAATAATAATATAGAAAATACCAGCAACAATACACACACACAACAACAACAACGTGCGCTGAGGTAATTTTGCTATTTTTTATGCTTCTTTTTTGTGTTTATTTATATTGGTTGTGCGTGTTTGAGTATGTCTGATGTGCGTGAGATTCCCGTCTAAATTTTATATTTTGCTGCAATGCGGAGCACGGATTTTTCATGCGGTCCCCCTTTTATTTAATTGCATTTATGTATATCTAGTGGGCTGCTTTTAATCCACTTTTTGCGAGGTATTCGCAAAGTTTTCTCACCTCTTTATGTCTCCTCTTCGTCGCTTTTTGCGTCTCCTCTTTGTGCTGCTGCTTCGCGTCTTTGTTTTGCCGGCTTTTCGATGACGTTTTTGTTGTTTTCTTTTGTTTGAACATGCGACGCCCTTTTTTTCAATTGGAACTTTTACGGGTCTTATATATTTAACATTATTTACTTAACTTTTCCCACTTATTATGCGGTTATTTTTTAAAATAGATTTATGAAAATGTATATAGTTAATTGTGTTAGGATATAAGTTTAAACTTTACTTTAAGAAGGCTTTGTTTTTTGTCCTATACATAAAAGACATAAGAATGTGTACATATAAACACACATACATATGTTAAAATATAAATAATATATGTACATATGTAAGCCAAACTATTTTTAAGCAAATCATATGCCTGCATATGCAACCTTTATGCTAAGCGTTAAATTAACGTTTCTCTGTAGGATTTAACTTTTAGAAAAGAGTAAACAAAAGTTGTTGATTTCATAGGTGTGGGAAGGATATATTCATAAATTAAAATGTTATTGGATGTATTGAGTGTTTATTTATTGCAGCGGCTGTGCTCCGCGTTGTCAGGCAACCATTCTTATTTTTTTGACATTTGTTGTCGCCTCACAGTGCATGCTAAAAGCATACACCCGAGACCTGTTGCTACTTGCCACCCACAAAAGTGTAGGCATACTTTTTGCTGTCAGTGTGACAGACAAATTTTATATTTTAGCTCTTTCTTTGACCAATTAGTTGTTCTTGGCATAGTTTTTTTGAACGATCTAACATTGCTCATTTAAGTAATCTCATAAATTATCACAGATTATGAAATTGCCGATGAAATTGGATGTTGCTTTTAAGTATTTGTTTATTTTAATAAATTAATGGGTGATAAAATATACAAAGCCGAATTTTTAAATTAAAATTAATAAATACATATTTTAACTTTATGTTTTTAAGGTCAGCAAATACAAAAAAGAATTACTTTTTAAATTGTTTTGCAAGACTAGGGAGTAAATCTATTGAAATTCCCCGCTGTCTTCTACAATCTTTGTTTATAGCTGCCTTAAATCTAAACGCTTGCTGGGCCGTTTCGTCATTATGAAACGACGTCAAAGTAAAAGCACTAAGAACTTTCGCACGGTGAAAAATGTTTTTCAATTTTCCGCCGCTGCTGCTGCCCCGAAAAAAATAAAGAAAAACTTTTTTCGCCCACGCCAAAATTTCTGACGCGCTCGATCTGTGTTTGTCTTTGCGCTGTTCCCATATTTTTTATGCTACCCGCTTTATAATTTATGCAGAAAAAACTAAAAAAATATGTATATGGGCAATGCCTGCATTTCGACGATCGGGAGTGGAATGGATTTTCGCAGCATTTCTGCCCGAGAGTAACGATCAGGGGGTGTCTTGGGTGCACAGTGGGCCATAAAAGTCGGCCCACTCGTAACTCATAGGCCAAACTATTTGTCTGTGACCCTGGACGAGGTGCTTGACAGTGGCAACAATTAAATTTCGATGGAAGTGCACATATATTTTTATGTTTCTAGCATGTGCACTATAAATTTGTCGGACGCCGAAATTCGCGAATAAATTCCCTTTTTTCGCCGCATCTGTTTGGCCCTGGCATTGCACTTGCAACTTGGGAAATGAGAAGTTGTCCAGATGAAACTTTTGGAAAAGGAATGGCCATAATTTGAAAGCCCGGAGTCCAACAAAATTAAGCCATAAATTGCCTTTTTAAAAGCGGTTTGTTTTTTTACATTGACCAAAATGTGTCGCTGTAAATTAATCTAATAGATCTAAACAAACAATAATTAAGATTACGGCTGCAACCGTGTATTTGTAGATCTACTGTACTCTTGGGTGGGAATAGTTGTGCGAGTTGGCAACAAAAGGCGCCATAAAAAGAACGCCCACAATTATGACAAAATATAAGATGATGCCTGGTTATTCGCCACCCATTTGCCCGATTTTCCCCGGGGGCAGAAAAGGCTTTGACGTTTTCGCCCAATTTGGCTATAAATTTGAAAAATGATTTTCTACAAAATTCTGCTCTTGTCAGTCGAAAAGAACAAGAATTTGTGTCGCTAAATCAAAACGAACGACAACAAAAGTCAGATCTGAGTCAATTTTCTTATTTTTAGTTGCTGTATTGGTATGGGCTTTATTTTATTCTTTTAAATACATATTTCTATTGGCGAATAATAAAGCAAATATATATATTCGTGCTAAATATAACCCAATTAGTTGTCGGCGTTCTAAATTTATTCTTGCAGTTTACTTTGATTTTGCTTTGCCTGAATTCCTCAGCTGAAAATCAATTGAATGAGCAATTTCAAGGGGGATACTGATCGGGAATTAGTCATGCAGGTGGTTCTTTCTATATCTTACGGCCCAGCACCATCGACATCGAATCAATTCACAGTTTGGCTTGTGTTTAGAAATTCTACAACCATCATAAATTATATTTTATATCTTGAATCGATTCCCCAACGTCCAATTCCCCAATTTGTGAATTTGTTTATTGGCTAAAAATTATGCTGCGGATCTGGCGAAAGTTATTTCAGAGACGTTGCTTTTCAAGGTCGTTTGGTTTGGTTTGTTTGCAAAGGATTTTGCAGTTAAGATCTCTGCTTTGGATGTTGGCCAAATAATAAATATTATTTTTTTCGCATTTTTCATTTGGCATACCTCATCGTTGCTACTGTGCTATGTGGGTAGGGAAAATAAAAGAAAGGTGTCGGGGACTGGAAATATTAAATGGGGAAATATATTTTAGGAAGTCACTCATAAATAAAATATGTATATCAAAAGTGCTTAGGCTATATTTGTATGGGAATTTTGAGTGGTTAAGGATGCGTTGAACTTGTGGAGGTTTTCTTTTAGTTGGTTATAAAATGTATTATATATTATACGATTTTTAACTAAGATTGGCTAGAAATACAGAAAAGGATGTACATATTTGATTCTCGGAGTATCATATGCGGAACGAATAATATTGAACTAGACTTCTAAAGTATTTTTAATTGCTATATTGTGACAGACAGGGATCCTTTTCCAATTATGTCTGACCTTTGAGGGACCTTCGCTTTTTTCTGCCGAAATCAAACCCATCCTAAAAAAATTTGACTAAGTGCAGGCACGCGCCTTGACCCAGAAACCCACTTCAAAAGAAAGCCCAAATGACGTTGCGATCCCAAATACCTGACCGAATGAACAACTCTCCTAAGTGTAGGGTGCTCGGAAAAACTGACCGAAAACTTTTCAGAAAACTTTTCGAAATTAAGAGCCGTGCGCCGATCGTCGGACTCTCCGGCGAGAGGATCCCTAGTTCTATTTTCGAAAGAACGTTTTCGAAACTCGGAGAGTGGAGAGCGAGCATCGGTTGTTGTTCGTGTAGGAAATGTGAAAGTTCATTGTTTCATTGAGGAAAAATGGTGAAAAAGCCAAATTATCTAACAGTGGCGAGATGCTGCGCGGATGCCCGAAGATTCGAAGACTCGAAGATTTCAGATTCGGATTCGGAATTCGGAATTCGAAATGGGAGCAGATCGGCGGGCGCCCGGAATATCTACACTTAGTAATCTCTGCGGAGGTTTCACGTTTGAACGTCTCTCGAACGAAGCACAGACGATTTCCACGGAAAAGCGCAATGTGAAAGCCAAAAAAGACTAGAAATAGCCTGGCGTGACGTCCCACACAGACGACAGACAGCAGAACGATTAGCACCGTCAGTAGCGGACTAAAGCGAACCGAGAGAGGATCTAACGCCCCGATCAAACCGATCAAACCGATCGAACAGATCGAACCGCCGATCCCATTGATCCCAAAGTGCCTAGTCTAAGAAGTGTTACGAAAATGCCAACATTCCATCGCTGAAACCGAAATCCGAAACCGAGAGAACATAGATTCCTGCCGCCAGCAGGTGGTTGTGTCACGCGAGTGTCCCAAGTGATAGATAAGCTCCAGGATGTGTCTTTAAAGTAAATCCCCGACGCCGAACACCGAGCTGCGCTAACAAAGCTGCGAGAACAAAGCGAGGACTGCACCACCGGGTGGTTTTAGTGGTTCGCGGGGACCATGCCGGTCATTGCCGACGCCGCCAGCGATGAGCCACCAGCGAAATGTTGCAAACATTGTGAGGGTATGCCTAGATCTTACATCCAACCTATCCAACCAGTCCACCTAGCCAGCCCCGTACTGTTTAAACAACGGCCGGAAAAGTGCAGCGGGTTCGTTAACCGATTCCGCCGCGGTTGTTGGCTATTAACTTCGGCCCAAAATCCAAACACAATTGAAAGATTTATGCTTAATTTCATCCCCCGCGGGCTCCTCGAATCTCCCCCGCCACTTGACTGGCATTAACTTTGCTCTCCATTTGTTTGTTTTAATTTTTGTTGCTCTTTGCCCGGGGCAGCAATTGCTGGGCACTTAGTTTTTCCTGCTAACAAAAAATGAGAAAACCGCTGACGCGTCTACTTAAAATTTTTCGGCGGTGGAAAGTCATGACAGCCAACGCCACCGGCTGCGAAATAGGCCCCGAGATTAGCTAGGGAAAAATGGATTTTCGCCGGGATTTTGACAACATTAAAATTGTGACCGGAAATGTCAAAACACTCTGCACAGGAAACTAATTTAATTTTAAAGGAGATTTTTGTGTTAATTATGTTCCTCGATTGTAGTTAAATGTGCATTAAACATTTGTATTAGTAGAAATTTGGGGTTTGCGCATAAAAGTTAAAAGTTTTTCTTATATTTGCAAACATCATTTTTCTAATTTCAATAGTTTCCTCCAATCAAATTATTTAATATTTATTTTTATATTGTTTTCTTAATTTAGGGTTTTCGTGTATTATTATTATTTTTTTGTTTTAATATTATATTATTGTTTACACTTCAGTACTTCACTTTTAATCTCGCCAAACCAAAGTTTAAAACTAATACTTTTAAAAACACTGGTAGTTTGCCTTACTTACGTTAATTAAGCAGAGTGTTGTCCCTAATGAGGGGAGGCTGTGCGTTTTTTGTTGCCTTTTGGCCGTGCGTTTTCTGCTTGGCACGCGCTCAATGTCAAACTGACCAGCCCACCGCCTCCGCCCCCTTCAACTCCCCAAACCAAAGCCACCTGCCACCCCCAGCCCTTCCCCGCATTAGCTAACGAGCTGTTAAAAATAAAGCATTGTAAAATGTTGTCAACAAATGCAGACATTGTATGAATATATATTATAACGAGGAACCCAGTATATATGCCAAAGTTAAGCAGAGCGTGGGCGAACCCCAGAAAACGCAACCGGGGAATCGAGAAACGTGCGGGAAATATTTGATACAGATGAAAGAGAAAAATGCAGCTCATATAGGAAGATATCTTTCGCAACAATTCTTTATTACAGAGGGCCAATAAATATTATACTAGTAAGGCCAATAGGACAATACATATCCAACTTTCCGTATTCAATTATTACAGCATACAAATTCATCTTTTATCTTCCGTCGAACAAATAATCAGCTGCTGCCACTTGTTGTGGCCCACAATAAATAAGCTATGCTCAAAAGCATTTAAAAATAAATAAATTACTCTAATACCCAGAATAAAGTAAACTAAAAAAACAAGCAACACGCGAACAACAAGCCAAGCCAAATCATCTTGGCCATATAAACGACTTGTTTACAACAATGCAATCTTGTTTACAAATAGCAGAAAAGAGGAGAAAAAATTCCATTTCTTGCGGCTAATCGGAACGTAAAATTTTCCAAGCCTTGACACTCTTTTAATATATCGCGCACATATATTTTTATTCCTTTGATATATAGTCAATGATTAGACAACTGCAGCTAAAAGTAAAAAAGTTTATTTGATTTTTTCGTTTATTGCTTTTTTATTTACATGGAAAATGGGCGGCAGGCTACTCAACAAAATTAGCTGCCGTGCGACAACAGCAGAAATAAAATCTAATTTAATGAAAATCAAAAGGGGGCAGCCCAACTTCTGCTGCCCCTTTCCAGTCAGTTTTCCCTTTTTTTCCGTCGTGTTTATGACCGTTTTCATGTAATTTTTAGTGTTGAGTGGGACACAAGGTGTTGTCGTTTTGTGTTTTCCGAGTGCGAGCCTCTTAAACACTTTGAAATGAGTGTCGCTGGGTCTATTTCCAGTCGCCTCTTCAGTTTTTCCTTCCTACCAATTGAGTTTCCCTTCGACACTGGGCATTCCTGACATCTCTTTCGATTGTGTTCATGGGAGAAGAAAATGGTGCCGAACTATGCATTTGGAAGGGGGAGAATTCCTCATTAAATTGTTATAATAACTTGTATTATTAATAAAATTTAGATCTATAAAACTTATCTTACATTGATAAGCCAACCTAAACGTTATTATTTAGTAAAATAGGGCCGACGATATTTCCTCTCTATAGACTAAACACTTCTAACCCAAAAGCACTCAGCTTGCAATTGCAAAGTCAATCAACTTGGAGGCTTTTCCAGCCAGCCGCCCATTGGGGAATTCAGAATTTCACTTACAACTCGAAGAGCCGCGCACAAAGTGGCAAATAAATTTGCACTTGCATCATCATCCCCATTGCCATATCGTATTGTGCCGCTTCGAATGGATTGAGTAGGAATACGCCTATGAATATTGATATTCCGTGGCAGCCAGAGCGTCGTGTTCGATTGTTTTTCCTCGCAGCGCGCGAATGTGTGAAAAACATGCCTCAAAACTGCCGAAAAAGCCAAACGCGCACATGGAAATTGCGGCCGGCTGTGTGTATTTGCATTTTGCCCATTTTTGTAGTCGAATTTCTGCTGTTGTCTGAATCAGCCGTCCTCCGTCGCACTCTCGGCCACTCCGCCCTCCCTTTTTGACGTCTTTGGGTGAGCGTGTACAACGCGGCGTATGAGTATTGAAATTTTATTGCTCCCGCTTTTTGTTGTTTGCGTTGTTGTTTTCTGCTTGCGCAATGTTTACACGCATTAAATGGCAGCGTCCAGTCAAAGTCAAAATCCGTGTACATGAGAAAGAGAGAAAAGAGAATCGATCACTGATATTTTAAGGGTAGAAGTTTGTCTACTCAGGAAAAAAGTTTTTGGATATTTTGAATACTTTCTCCGATATAAATTATAATCGATTCAAAACTTCTAAATAAATAGTTTATTATTTGTACCTAATAATTGAAAAAGCGTAGAGCTTCTCTTTTTGTTTTCGGCTATAAGCCAAATGTTATACCTTTTCCCCCTCTCACATGTTGTGCATTACTTTTGCATGTTGCAGACACATGTTCTCGAACGAGAAACCTAAACAACAACAGCAACAGGCAGTTTTTCGTGAACGTATATGTAAATCCCCAGCGTATGGCATTGCTGTATATCCCACATTGTCCAGCTTTACCTCGTTTTGCAATTTCGCTGGCCAAGAAATTCGTTGGAAAATTGGGAAAACGAAAGCGCACGCATTTGTGCAAATAAACAATGTGTGGGCGTGTGAGGGGGTGGAAAACAGGTGGGGGTGGTTGGTGTGTGGTGCTTTGGTGCTCCGGGTGCTGTTTCAGAGGATGCTGCACACATCTACGCAAACTCTGAATAATTTACAGTGGGTATTAGGCCTACATGTGGGTGTTTTGGATATGAAAATCAGAATGAAAGATTAACGAGATTCGATGATTGTTTTATTTTATTTTAAAAGGATTTTGTTAGAACACGCTTAATGCACTAGTTCGCTGATTCTGATATTTAAGTGGCACAAATTAAAGCTTTTCTATGACATAACCATTGAAGGTAAAGCTGTTCTCTTGTTCTTCATTTTGGCGTCTGCTGCCTTCTCTCATTTTCCTTTAATAAGCCAAATAATTGCCTCTTGCCTCGGGAAACTATCGCACTGCATTCCAATGCCAGCAAATAATGGAGAAAAGCGGGAAAAAGTACAGAGAACGACTAAAAGGAGAGGCATTTGTCTCTGGTATCCCAGGTTTTCAATCGGCAGGTGTTCCCTTCGTTGGATAAACAAATTACCTGCTCCCCCTGCCACTCTTTGTATCAGTGTGTTTTCAGTCTTATTGGCAAGTTCTTTTCCTGATAATTTAGAGCAGTTTTCATGTGGGAACCGTGTGTCTGTCTTTGCAAAGGTCGTTCTTCATGTTTCACACTGGCTTTTATTTAATAAACCGAATCGCCTTGCCGTTCTTTTCGCTGGCTGCACTTACTCGCCCGTTTCGCTTATTGAAATGGAATCCCATGAATTTTTTATTGCAAATGCAACAATTTGTATTCATGGCATCGCTCGGGTCGAGTTCAAGACCCAAGATTCTCGATTCGAACCCGGGATGATGTAGCATGACCATTAAGGCGGGGAGTGGGAAGAGGGGCGGCGACGACCTTGATTTTGAACTTATTTCGATGAAAATTGCGGCATTTAAATCGAGGACAATGACTGGGCTAGACGAAAGAGGGTTGTGAAAAAAGTAAGAAATGTACAGGAAATCAAAGTACCTTTATATTCTTAAATTTAACTAACCAATATCTCTCTAAGTAGGGATTGCACCCGTTGTAATTATTTTCGGGATAGAACCATTTAGCTGCGTTCCAGCCCATAAACACCGGGCAAACTTTTATGATTACATCGTGGGGGGATGGAGAGCTCACTTGGGCAACACTCTTGCCAGTGACACCCCCTACTCACCCCCTACTCACTTCCTACCTGCCCCATCTACCCCGAACACACCCACAAAAATACACACATTTCGGAACAGAGTCCGGCGCACGCCTCATTAGAACACCTTTCAGTTTGCTGTGTAATTTTCGCAACATTTTTAATGGCGTGCGGGGACATTTTGGCACTCGAGTGACCGTGTGCGTTTTACCTACCTACCACCCCCCCCTCACCGCGTCGCCTCCTTCTCTGAATTCCCTCGCATTTTCTTTGGTTTTCCCTGGCTGCTGCGTCGCACGCAAAACTATTTAGAGAAGTGTCAAGAAATGTCTGCATTTTGCATTCGCCGCGGCCACTGCATTGCAACATCGTAGCAGCAGTCACACGCCTGCCACCACACATTCTGTATACTATATACGCACTATATGCGATATCTGGTGCGGGCGGGCGTTGATAAATTACAAGACTCTGCAGTGGCTATTTTAAATGTGGCGTGAAATTTGCTT